AAGCCAATCTCAAAGCATATATTTTAGGGGGTAAAGAAAGTTCAATTTGTGCTTGAAAGATGCTGAGATATTTGTTGAATAACCCGGAATATTGTAAGCCCCACCACATTCTGCCTACTTCAGTGCTTTGTACTCATTGCTCAGTAACAATGATGACATTATTGCTGATCTTTCCGTTTATGCTTGTTGTACAGAGTTGAAATAACATTCCATTTCAGTGCACAATTATTAAAGGGGAAGTTTATTTAACCAAGTTGCCTTCAGTTCCTGCTGTCTTAGCAGTAAAAAAAAAGGTCCCAGCAAATATATACACATCTCTCTTTTTGATGTTTGGGGACAATTCAGTAAACTTCATAATAATAAATGTGTGCACCTACCCACATCGAAATCCTTTTTGGTAAATAGTCTGTGGATCTTAACATTTGGCTGAAGTATATTAAGCAACAAAGCAGTGTGTGTGTGACTGCTCCACTGGACCAGTACATGCTACTTACTAATCTTCTGGATTACATCTTTACAAATTACATCCATTTTGGTGTCTAAAATCGATACAACACATTTGCATCTGCAAATTGTTGAATAAGAATCATACTGAATGATTTTGCATGAAATGTGATTTAGTAAATTTCCAAACAAAATATAATATAGCTGATCTTTCCTGAGTTTTGATTTTATGCAACAGATTATTATACCTTGACTATACGTACTACAGTTCCTAGGCTGTCCAACTAAATGATATGGTAGTTTTATAAGCAGAAGCAGAATTCATGATTCACACCCATCAATAAAATGCACATAGTTACAACTTAAGTTACAACACCCAAGAAATGTGAAGCGGTGATGAAGGGGAATTGATATAATATTTTGCGAGAAAAGCTAGTGCTGTACATAATTATGTGTATTCAGCTTTAAACACAGATTGCTGGAAGACCTGTGTAGAAAGAAAACACAAAGCATACAAAAAAGATAGAAGGTTATTTCTCTCGCTCCAAGGGGGAAGGGAAATGAAGAAAACAGTGAGAAAGGAGCTAATCTCATGAACATCTGTTCTGCAGATGTAGATTCCCACGGGATACCCACAGAGAATAATTCATAAATTCAAATCAGTCTTTTATTCATTTCAGGAACCTATCTTTGGTTGAAACTGATCAAAGCAGCCCATAACATACATTGCTATTTGCAGAAGACTTATGAATTGAAGATTAGAATTGAATAGGATATTCCATTAGTCTTTTCATTCTGCAACCTCTGTAATATGCTCTTCCAGTCAGTCCATGGTTTCTCAAAAAATATATTTACAACACTAATAGCTCTGAATGGAAAATTACTAACATTGTAAAAGTAGAAAATCACCCATATTGTATGGTTGGTTAGTATGGATGCAGAACACACAGACTGTATACTCCTTTGAGGTGCATGGCAATTTCTGTTTCATGGCTCCATGCCAAGATAAAAGTACATGCAACAACTCAGTTAAATATACTTTATTTTCATGTTTTCATTTAACTGAAGATTCAAGCATGTTTCACACTAGGCATGCCACATTTTATTGAGCTTGAGCCCTAGCGTTCTAAGTATGCCACATTTGATAATGTTATCAGATTTGTGCATGACAGTAAATGTGCGGCCAGATGTCCAAAGTCTGGGAGTTTAGCAGCATTTAATGGACATGGATGGATGACTTAAAGGGAAGTATATACTATTGAATTTCTCGTTAATCTCTGAATGATAATGTCAGATAGCTGTGCACTTAGTGTGATTCACATGTGTTTTTAATGGAACATGAAGGAATATAGTCTTAAGTACATTTATGACCTTTCATCGTGCGTTTGTGTGTATGTGTGTGTGTGTGTGTGTATATATATACACACACACACACGTGTGAGGGGAAGCGGTGGACATTTCTGCTTGTGCTTATTGTGTTCCATAGAACAAGCCTGAAAATCGAGCTGGAGGCATTGGAAACCAGGCTACAGGTTAAATGCAATGCAGCCCAGTTGATCACGTGATTTCCTGTGGCTTTCGGATCTGAACTAAGCATACTCTTCTTATGCTTGCATTCCACTCTAGTAGACTGGACAGCCAGTATTAATTTTATCGCACAGGCATTCTTCAAGTGAGCTGACAACCTGTCAGGTTCATTGGGTTAAAAAAAAACTCCATAAAGAGTCGGCATTAATCAGGCTCTGCTTCCCTCAATGATAGCTCCCATATTCATTTGAATAATAATAAAAAACATCAGCGAATCCTAAAGGCAATCCCAGACATGATCTCAAGGGCAGCATGACCCGCCTAATCCGTGTGGCTTTGCTCCATTTTTTTCATGCCAGAAGGAAGTTCATGACAATATTTTAAAGATCCATGCAATGAGGACAGCCAGGTCCCCAGCCGACAACCCGAACTCCAAGCATAGCCTCTGCGACTTCCTGCTTCTCTGTGTCCCACCGCTGACACATTATCAGTACTTTAATCTGACAACTGGTAAGATGGTTCCCAGAAGGGTGAGATGGCTGAGTGAAGGAAAATTGAAGATGAAGAACATCAGTGCAATGAGTTACACTGTACAAATAAGACCGGTAAATCTGGTTGCAACTGTTATGCTTCCAACCTGTGCAGACGGGACATTGTGTTTGCGGAACCCCTTAACATCTTGCAGAATATTCGAATGAGGCAGGTCAGAGTTCAGCCAAGCAAACACTCACTCCCATCAGCAAACAATTGGGCTCACCTTGTTCATATAGCAAAATTTGCTGAGATTTTGTTGCATGTCTAAGTACAATTGAGCCATCCTGTTGTGTAGTTTCTCACTCTTTCCAAAATATTTCCTGCCAATTTTAACACTTTGCTTGCAGAAACTGGGAAGAGGAACTGACCGTAATTTTAGTAATCTATACTGATCATTGATAATTATTCTCAGACCTTCATAGACCACTAATTGACCCTTTTTGGATTCGACAAAGAAGAATCTGCGATCATGAATTTAGCACAGTGATCCTCCATTTAATTTAGTGATTTTTGAGTCAGCCAACCTAACCAGACAGCTTTCTTGTAGTGATAAGTACCTTGGCAGCATCTCAGGTGACTTCTATTCTAAAAGCCTACATGCTAAGAAAAACAGATTTATATGTTGGGAGTTCAGATCATGAATACAACCCATTTATGTTCTGACTATTGGAGCTTATTTACGGTCATTGACAAGCGTTCAACTCACTGTGTAGTCTGTCACCTGCCTTTTGTGAGACATCTGGAAAATATAAGGGGAAAAGGTTTTGTATGGCAATTATTGCTAACCTGGGATTTTAACTTTGTTCAACATAAACATAATTTATGTCCTGACTCCTTCAATAAGATCTTTGACCCATTTGAATATGTGGTATCTTGTGACCTTAACTTTCTTTCTTTAAAGAATGTTCCCTGATTATGTTTATTTTATCTGGCAATGTTAGTGAATTTCATGCTCTGCTGGTAGACCCACCTTAATTTTTTTGGCATTGGGATAAGGCAATCATAAGACCTTTTCGTTCATTTATCTAAGGAAAAACAGTTCTGAAACTTTGCCCACAACTTCATAAACTTTCCTTAGAAAGAAAATATCACTTCCCGACATTTCACAAACATGTTCCATTGATGGAACAAAGGATATTTTCTACAATAGAAATTATTTGTTTAATTTGGTTAACAACATTTATTGAACAATTACTAAACAGGACTTCTGTTACTGGGATACATTCTACAATCCAATAGTGTCTTTCTTTAGCTGGTCAGGCACTTTTAGGAAAGGGTAGAGCCGATCAACTTGTACTGCGATCAGATATTAGGCCAACATGGTTAGCCCTCTCTGAAAGGTAGTAGCTTGCATACATCTACCAAGTACTTTACTGTTACTTTGATGTGACAATTTAAACTGTGGTTACAGAATGAGAGGCCTTCATGGGGAGTGTTGGTGGTTGTATATTGTATATTGTAACGGGCATCCAATCTGAATCTGATCCTGTCCTTACTCACTGTCCGCACACATACACTTTTCAAGAGGTCATTCATTCTGGTATGGAACGGGAATCTAGTATGGCTGATTTCTCTAGCCCTTTCCCCCAACGCACAGAGGTAATTTGTAGTTCCCCTACCATTTCCCAGGAAAGATCAGCCGACTCAGCACGGACGAGGTATTAAAGGTGCACATTCCTGGTCTGCTGCTCAGTACCGCACTGGGCAGCATTACATTTGCCGCCTGATTTATGGGAGGAGGGGAGGAAAGGCATCTTATTTCTACAGTTCTGTGGACCTTTTGAGCATGCTCTGCGGATAAGATGCACTTAATGAGGATGCCAAGCAAACATGGCAGAATCTTGTGACAGATTGAGATGCAGTACTGTTTCAAATTGACAAACCCAGAACTGCGTCATAAGTTCCCTTAAAGGAAATGTAAATTTCTATGTTGTGTGATTACGCTTTAATCTGCAGTACTCCAAGTAGCAAAGAACAAGGACATCATTTACATACAAATAGTCAGGACATATTTTGTTTAAAGGCACGTTCGTTCTGTAGATGTTTTACTTTGAAACGAATGGCATTACATACACTGTTTAAAATGATAATTCTTCAGCGGTCCTTTTTTCCATTTTTTGGGATGATTCTCGCTACCTTTGCATTTTTCTGAATGATTTCTATCCCTAATTCGTTAAAGCGAAACTGCCTTTAAAAAGAACATGGTTTCTCCTGGGGTGTGATGTAACGGTATCTTTAGGCATCTGTTTGTGTGATGGAAATTAGCATCGGGCAACCTCTTCGGACTGCAGTCGTAGCCCTTTCCAACCCCAGGCACTTCCTGAGTCTACAAGTCAAACTGTAGCAGAGCCACTGTGACCCCAGCTCTGGTCTCTCAAGTGAAATTAATCACGTAAATAGACGAATTGCTTCAGCAGCTGGTAAAACAGCAGGAATTGTCAAGTTTGCTACCCTGGTAACCATGTGTGATAGTGCACTTGACCTTCACGGGAGCAGGGTCACAAGGAGGGCATATTTGGCATTTCTGTCTGGTTTATGAATTTGCACATATGCAGAAGCAGAGGTTTTCAAATATTTAGATTGCTGTGTGCAGCTGCATTTCTCATCTTCTGGAAGCGTTCACGCAGCAGCACAATGTGAAAGTTGCGAGAAGGATTTGACACTGTAAGTAACCTCTGTTCATCTATGGCAGCGAGCTCCAGGAAGCACAAAAATAGAGGTGATTGCCGGACGTATTTAGGCTGCAAAGCAAATGGAAGCCTCAAGGGTGTAATGTGGGTGTGGAGAAAGGTTGCAGAAGGCAGCGGTAGAGTGTGCTTTAACATGCGTTTAAGTATCTCGGAGAAAATGTAGAACTGTTTTATGTGCCTGACCTATTGTGCTGACTGCAGTACGGCGGGTGACCTGCCGGCTATAATTTCAGAGGTATCTCTCTTAGAAGACGGAGTCTGCTACAAACTACAAAAGATGTCTGTGGCAGACATATCCAGTCCAACCGCATCTCATTTCTGTGGGTGAATTGATTGAAATATAAATAATTTGTAATTTCCTTACAGCAGCTTTTTATCATTTATTTGATATCGGAACAAGGACGTCTCAAGCTTTTTGTGGTTTTTTTTTTAAAAAAAAGTAACATTTGATCACAATACACGACGGGCACCTGGATTTATTTTTTTGCATTTTTGCAATTTTTAGGCTATTATTTTGATGATATTTTGACCTGTTCAGGACTTGATAACTAACAGCATTGGAGCTAAAAATTCTAACTGCAGTTGGTAATCATTCAGTGGCTGACGGCACATGATTCAAAGTGCAGCCGGGTAAATGTTGTGCATTAGAATTACGTAGTCAGTCCAATTTCAATCAATCTCATTCACGTCGTGTGTTAGAATTTTACATAAATAGCATCAACTGGTGTTCGGAGGATTATTTTTAACCAAACCTCGTTAGCAATAGCTCGGATAACGTGGTGTTAAGTTTTCATTTGTTACATGCAGAAGAAAAAAGAAACTGATTTCGTAATCAGACCGGAATGTTATTTATATCTACCTGACACTGTGATCTCTTGTGATTTTACTGCCCCCGCAAATTCCTCTACTCAGTAGTCTGATTCGGGTCCTCTGTTTAATCTGCTCCATCATCGGTGGCCAAGCTTTTAGCTATATTGTCCTTGCTCTCTGTAACTCGAACCGGGAGTCCCTCTGCCTTCCTTCCTCCCGTGCTGTCAAACCCTGCCTCGGAATCTTATCTTTTCTTTTTGACTGCACTTTTAGTTTCCTTCTTCCCCCTCCCTCCTCTCCCCTCCAGCTCAGGCTCCCAGTCAGCTCACTCTGTGAAGCACTTTGAGTCGTGTTAACAATGTGAAAGGTGCTAGATGAATGCAGATAGTTGTAAGTTCTTAGCCGTTTCTACAGTAGCATCACTTAAACCGTTCCAAGTCACATTTCTAATTCAGCTGCAGATTTATGTTCCCATTCCAGAATGGAACAGCCGGTACCACTCTTTTTTCTACTTGAATACGAGCGCCGGTCATCTTGCCCAAGGATCATTTTATTATTCATGTTTAAGGTTTGTTGGTGCATGCTGGTGGGTTCTTCGATCATCGAAAGTGTGACAACCAAACACCATCACCCGAGCACCTTCCAGCAGTGGTCACCAGTTAGTGATTAGGAGCAAGAATGTTGTAGGGATTTCCATGCCTGTTGATCAGCAAAATTGGGAATCAAAACTAATGTTTTGGTTCGTATGACATAGTGCCTATTCATACTGCCATTCTTTTTTATTTGTACAAAAGGACACATCAATTTATTATTTGTTATGTAGTTATTACCGATTCAATATCCTGCATCTATTATAAATTGTGTTTAGGGTAATATAATAATAATCCATTTGATATAGCACCTTAGCACGTCTTCGGGACGTCTCAATGCGCTTCACAGAATATGCTGCAAAGTGAATTGTCAATATTTTGTGGGTAGTTTTCCTATAGATATTTTCTCCTCTCATCGGTAAAACTTCCCACATTCCTCTGTAAATGAAATTCAGCCGTAAACTATGACGAGTTTGAGGATTTACCAAGTAATGATATTCCAGATTCTTCCCCAAATTTTTGAAGTGGGTATCAGCTGCTGAAAAGTAACCTTATTCCTATGTGATAAGCTCCATGAGGGAGAATTATAGAATACTGTATTTACTGGCAATATATTAGTCTAGGTAACTGGGAATTTCTGTGATGTCAAGATGCACACTGTATTTATAAAATGTATGATGCACACACCCAATTTATTGAAGGCATTTAAACACAAGAGCCATAATTTTAGACATGAAATGAACTTGGTAGAGCAGTTGATGAAGGTCAATGCTGCGATTCTATTGAACAACAACTTGCATTTATATAGCACCCTTCACGTAGGATATTGCTTTGGAGCGCTTTACATTGACAGAGTCAGATGTCGAGCAAGAGAGAGGGCAGAAGGCGGGGGTGACGAAAGATTCAGTTGAAGAAGTAGTTTTTAAGGCAATACTTAAAGACGCAGGCAAAATCAACATGAATAATACATGTTTTGCAACTGAATAAAAATGGCCCATTTGGATATGTGGAGTCAGTAAAACGGAATTACAATGTACTGTAATCTTATGGTGTATTCACAGCTTTGACTATTTACAGTGGTCTGCTTGAGGTCTTTGTTAAGTTGGTTAACCAGCATGAGCTTCCCACATCTTTGCAGATACTAATAGGTGTACTGTGTGTAGAAAATCAAAGTGCTGATATGCACTACATACTTTCCAGACATTTGTTTAAAATTCATCTTTCACGAGGCCTCAGAAAAGGAACCTGGAATGTTGGTCGAAGTGTACGCAGTACAGATAGGTTTATGTTAGCAGTTTGATTATTTGTCTTCACATGTAACCCTATAATTCTCAGCTGATATATTTGTTAAGATTCTTAGAAACTGGGTAAATTTGAAGAAAGCTACAGTGAAAATGAAATAAATCCCTTTGCGATGGGGTAAAGGTTATAATTACAGTGCGGTTACAATCAGTAGCACTGTCGTTGTTTGTAGTATTATTTGCCCCCCCCCATAAAACTAAACTCAAATGAAATAGTACTAGTAATTCAATTTCCAAGTTGGTGTGTATGAAGGGAAGGGGAAAGTGATCAAGTCCGTTGTTTACATTGCAAAAGAAATTTAAGCCCTTTGCATGTTTCTATATTTTAATAATATGAAAATCTTTTCATTAAAGCCTTGTAAGTTTGCTTGTGTGCAGTGTAAGATAATCAATGGAATGTAAGCAATAAATTGGTCTTTGGCAGTGAAGTATCCAATACAGTATTTGTCGTCAGAGTTTACAGGAGACTCTGAATAGTGTTAGAAGTTAAGTGCTGCAAAAATTTTGCTAAGAAAATCTGTAGGAACAGAAATGGAAGGTGTTGCTTGGGACCCTGGTACTTTAATATTACAGTGCAAACTGCTGGAATATTGCTGCATATTATGACTGAAATACAGTAATAATTGGAGCAACCGTGGTTTGTTGATATATCCTGAGTCATTGTAATTTACTGTAAAACTGCCATCACACACCTGAACGTGTTAATTTTCTATTATTGTATTGTAGACCATACAGATTCATGTTGAAGTCACTAGTACAGTGGTACAGGCCACGTTGCCAGGATCATCAGTGATGACCAGTCCCCCTCATCGTATCCAGATAATCTCTACAGACTCTCCTGTGTCTTCCCCTCAAAGGTTCCAGGTATGATAAAGTAATAATAAGCCATGTATTTGATATAGCTCCGTATCACATCTTCAAGACGTGTCAGAGCACTTCACGGAATATACTGTAAAGTGAATTGACTGTAGATTTTATGGGCAAAACTAGTTGCATAGTAGTTTTCAGAAATGTGATAAATAATCCGCAAAATGTATATTCATATAATTTGGTTTAATATGAAGTGCTACAGCTTTGTAATAAAATTATTTTGGGTTTTAGTATTTGAAAAAGACCTTTCCTTCCATTTACCAATCAATCTGAATTCTGAATGACTTGAATATTATTGTTTTAAATAGTGACATCCTCATACTTGGAAGATTCACTGATTCCTACATAGTTAGGGATAAAGATTAGCCACACAGCTTGTGCAACACTAGAAGAACTAACATTAGGTCTGTTAGTGTTTTATAGAGAATTAAGGAGAATTAGACAGGGAGAGGATGAAAGGAAAATATGGCTTTTCTAAGCTTTGTGGAAAATAAGTGTTTCCCAGTGGAGATAATACCCTAAGACCATGACCTCAGTGACTGAAAAAGTCAAAAATGTATTACCTAAGCACATCTAAAAAAGGAAATGAAGACCATTGTGTACCGAGAATCACTACAAAAGTCACTTGTGAATAACAAAAAATAGCATTTAAGAGGGTTTAAGAGGACAATGGAAAGACAGATTACACACGAAAATACGAAGGATCCTTTTTTTTAATATGTAAGAGATAGACAAGGTTTTAAAGACTAAGTTAGAGACTTTTGAATGGTGTTGGGTAGAAATAATGGAGTGAAAAATGCAATATATGATTAGACAAAGGGATTGTTTCTTTCACGGCCTTGATGGAAATGCCCCTTTATTTCTTTCACAACTATTCAAACAGCAGCTGTCTTGTGTAAAGGCTGAAAACACTTCTGCACATCAAGTGGAACTTTCCACTGTCAAAAGACAAGTTTAATATAACATCAGCCATAAGGTACTTTGTGATAGGAAATTCCAGTTCCCAGCATTGCACCTGGGGGACACCCATTATTTCTTTCATCTACTTCAATCTGGCTACTACCCCTAGTAATTTGCCATTCTCTATATTATGAGACATCAGAATTGGGAGTACATCCTGATGTTTATCACAGTTGCCACTTTTGTTTTCTATGCCTGTCTGTTGTTTAAATATATTGAGTAGCGCTTTAAATATATTTCTATTATGCATTTAACGCTTTTGATTCTTATGGTGCTATCAAGTCTGACTCTAGCGTTGATTGCAACAATTTGGTGGGGTAACTTACCATTCCAACATGCAAATGAAGGATTGGAAGTATACCTGGCCTCTTGGGCAACTGAGGGGAGATCTCAATGGACCATAAAAAAGGGACCAATTACATCAAGTAATTGGTGCAATACAATTACCATTGGGGACGCTAATTCAGGGAGAGCCTCAATGCCCATGATAGAATGAGCGCTATGTGCTCAGGGTCGCTATTTTTCTACCTGATGACAAGAAAGGTATGTGCTCTGACTATTAATGAGTAGTAGTTAGAGGTTTGTTCCTCGTGCACTTTTACATTAACTTCATTCCAAGTGGCTGCTCGCGTGTGTAGTTTAAGTGTGATTTATGTTTGTTATCTCATAGTTGTGTTTGTTGATATTTATCGTGTCTAAGATTTAATGCCGAGGGTTGTAGATTTCACTGAAGCTACAATAAAATTCTGTTGAGCTAACTTAAACGTGCTTTAATTCGAGCTTTCTGTATAAATCAAAGGAGGAGGAAATACATAAACAGGTTCAGCAAAGGTTACAGAGGTGTAAAATAAATCGTTGTTTGACTGAAGCTTCCCAATTTGCTTTAACTTAAATAGCAGTTGGTAGTACCTATCGTCGTGGAAGAACTCATTAGTCAAGTTATATCTAGTTATAGGGACTTGCATTCATTAGTGAGGATTGAACACAAAGGCCACCCAGTACACTAAGGGAGAGCGAGCCATATTGTGGGTGTACATATAAGGGTACAGATTCTAAGTGTATTAGCAAAATAGGCTGGTTTTGTACGAGTAAATTTTGTCCAATTATCTTTGAAAATTAAGATTTATTTGGGAACTAAGCATTTGGGCCAATGTCTCTCATCTGGAATGTTTGAATTGGTAATTAATGATATATGGTACCCCCAAGTGGAAGGAAGAAATGTAGTGATAACTAAAGACGCATTTTATTGTATATTCCGAACAGGTGTACAAACAACTGACTGGAAGCTCAAACTAGCAGGGGAGGGGGCAAAAGTATGGTGAAAGAGATAAGTCTTAAGGTGGGGTTTTAAAGGCAAAGAAGGGGCAAGATGTAGGGAATCTGGGATGCAATTTCAGAGAGCGTGGACAGAGTGACTGAAAGCTTGCCTACCAATAATAATAATAATAATCTTGCATTTGATATAGTTCCTTATCACGTCTTTGAGACGTCTCAAAGTGCTTTGCAGAATATACTGTAAAGTGAATTGGCTGTATGTTTTTTTTTGGCAAAACGCAATGGTAGGACGAAGCAGAGGAATTGAAGCAGGCTAAGTGCTAAGTGATGGGTGGTGAGTGGGATGGCAGTGGTAGGGTGAGGTAAGGCCAAATGAGAAGTCCAAAGAAAACGCCTTTCTCTTAACCCATGATTGGAGATAATTAAGATTTTTTTAATTCTCTCCCAATGGGTATTTATGGATGTCAGCAACAGTAGTAAAATGCTCATCCGTAAAGCTAAATCTTTGCTTTCTGGGTTAAAAAAATGTTCTTTTTTTTTTACAGATTGTAACCGATCAACAAACAGGCCAGAAAATCCAGATCGTCACAGCTTTGGATCCTTCTACATCTTCCAAACAGTTTATTTTGACCACTCCAGATGGAACAGGTGCAGGAAAGGTGATATTGGCTGGCGGAGACAGTCCAGTCCAAGGAAAGCTTATTCTTACGACACCAGATAGCTCCAGTCCTAAACAGCTCATTCTTACCACTACAGATGGTATTGTGCCACAAAGATTTCAGGTAGCTGAGATATAATGCATCCTGGATGGGTGGTGCATTTTTCATAATTCACTATAATTATACAAAATGTGCGGTAACTACATCGTTAGTGCATTCCGCGACGTTTAATGTTGTGATGGCTAAGAAATGGGGCAAAGGAACTCAGTGAGAAATCACCAGTTGTCAATAAACACCTTGTTTTTTTAACAGTTTAAGAATAATTTAAAATTTGTCTTATTCACTATTCTCTTTTTTTTTAAAAAGCAGAACAAAAGTTGACTCCTTTCCCTCTTGAATTGTATACGGTCAGTCCGAGACGTTCAGTTCATAACAAAGTGTGAACAAGACTAGTTTGTTTGCAGTATTTTTGCTTTGGATCTTATTCAATTCTGGACCCATATGTCTTTTGACACTGCGGTCTGATTACAGCAAAATGCACTTGGTTTTGAATGGAGCTTCTGATAGCGATGTTAGCAATTAAAACAATGCCTTTTTTTAAAGTTCAGAAAAAGTAAATAAGATAAAACGTAACCAACAACAAGCATTGTTCGACTTTTGCGACCTGCCTTTCAGTGCATCTCACTTTGATGGGTTAGAAGTCTCTGCTTTGCTTTTAGTGTACAGGTTCTGGACAATTGTAATCCAGTTCTTAATTTGGCACTGAATTTGCATCATCACAGATATCGAAAGAATGGTAGATATTTGAACCGAACACCTAACATGTAAATTTTTTTTAAAAAATGGTGGAATGAGCTAGTATAAGAGCATTACACACAGAAATGTTTAGAGTGAGTTCACAACAGATAGCTTCAATTAAGATCAATGGAGCTTCTGCATAACCAGCAACACATTATGGGTTTGGTCTGATGAATGAAGTGGTGGATCCTAGGTATTAAGGCGAGTGTACCCAGCTGTAGGTAATCTATACTTCTATTTTTTTTCCCCCCCAATATGGCTAGGTGGAATATTTGAACAGAATAGCAACTCCAGCTTGTGTTTATATTGCACCTTTGAGGGCACCATCTCAAAATGCTTTGTGGAGAAGGTGCTGGACACCGAGAAGGGAGGTGACTGGAGGCTCGATCGAAGAGGTAGCTTTGCAGGAGGCTTACAGGAGCATTTGTATAGGGTTTTGGTAGCGCTAGAAGAAGTCCTTTGGACTCTTAATTCAGATAAATTAAGGTTTCAAACCCATCTTTAAACAAACTCTGTTCTCAAGTGTTTGATTATCACTGATACTTAGACAAACTGCTTGGCAGAATACTGAAAGATGGCAGAATGCACCATAATGGACAGAAGGGCTATTACGGTGTGTCAGCCTGGTTCAGTTGGTAGCACTCTTTGCCTCCGAGTCAGAAGGATGTGGGTTAAAGCACTAGGTTGGGACTTTGAACTCGTATCATTTAGGCTGCCACTCTTAACACAGTGCTGGGGGTTGTGCTGCGTTGTTGGAGATGCCGTCCTTCAAATACACTCTTGTACCTAATATTTTTACTTTTTTCAGATTGTAACGGATGCAGCTGCTGTAGAACGTCTGCTGGTAAAATCTGAAGTCCAGCGATCGCAGCCTGTAGAATATTGTGTTGTGTGTGGAGACAAAGCATCAGGTAACACCTGCTAGAGGTAAACCGGCATGTAATCTGAGCTCGATTCTGAATGATGATCGGACATTACTGAGCAACAAGTATATTGTTTGTGCACAGAAAGAAAATGCACAAATACTGCAATTCTTTGGTTTGCCAAGTAGTTGTTTGTAACTCAGAGAGAATGCAGGCAACGTTTTTTGAATTTCCTTTGTATTGCTTTTGGTTTACCTGCCTGTTCTCAGAAGTTTGACTGCTGCAACAATCAGTGACTTGCTGCTACAAACATACATACGATATCATGGTATTGCATTTGCAACACGGAGACCACTAGCAAGTTTACAGAGACTCTTAACCTGTTCTGCACTTTTTCAGTTTATACAAGATAAAATAATCTTTCAAGCTACTCAAACCCAGGATAGCTTTATCACTACTAACCCTAACAATATTGACAGAAACAAACATTTTGAAAACTTGACCGATGCTTGTCCTATTCCACTTTCCCTTTATTAAAAAAATATATTTTCTACATATTTTCTAATTTATTTTACTTCTAACTTAAAATTGTTTTCTTGTCATTTAATCCAGTGCCTACCAACCTTTTTGGAAAGCTGAAGCTACATTTGGTGAAAGTATAATTCATTAACTAAAAATTGAATAGGTAACCCTTTGAAGATTGACAGGGCCATATCGGAGATAAGATTACCACAATCTCTAGGATGATTTTGGATCCAAAAGAAGAAATGTCACAAGGATTAATGCACTATTAAGTGTATGTTGCTTAGAGTGAAAAAAATGTACAGTTGGATGATAAGATTACTTATTCATTTGGCATTTTTTATTTATTGATGTTCATTTTTTTACTCTTCCTCGTCCACAAAAGATTCATTAATTTTACAATTCAATTTGTATAATTTATTTTAATTGTAATATTAAAATGAATAGTACAAAAGTGGACATTCCCTTCCCCCCCCATTAAAGGAAACTAAGCAAATCACCGGCACTGATATCGGGGCAAAGAGTTTTGAAAAGCTAATGGCAAACATGTCTCCTTAATTTCAATCTTTATCAAAAGAACGTTTGAAACTAATTAAAGTTGTAGTCACCTTGCAAATCACATTGTTACACTAACATGTCTTCTATGGATCAGAAAATGACAAGAGTCTACTGCTGAAGTTGATCAGTTCAGTGTTAGAATTCATGAGCAACAAATTTAGAAAATATCTGAAAAATACCATGGTAACTTGTTAGACCCCTCCATATACACATACAATCTAATCAATTATGTTGCCTCGCGGGTCAATTTAAGCTTAATGTGCATTATCTGATTGTCTGAGATTTACATTGAAAAGCACTATCATAAAGCACTTACACATCAGCATCTTTGGCTTGGATCTGATCTACCTATCGACACGAAAAATATACACTCATGTGTACTAAGAATTCTGTACAATATTTGTGTTGATAAATAAGCCAAATAGTAATGATCTAATCACTTCTAAAGAATATAACAGATATTCAGTTGTGTTCTTACACAAATAATGGACTAAGAGCACACGATGCCTGTCTCGCACTAGTTTGATCAGTTCTCAGTTCCTTATTCCAATGTAAAACACCAGATAATTCATAATACTGATAATTCAGTATTGTCATGGTGGATCTCAGTGTAATGGCCACCTCTGGATGAGGTATGAATGCACGAAAGTGGGTACTGCTCATGCCTTCCCCAGTTTCTGAGAAACTTGTAGACATGCAAAGCAAAACAGCTGCAAGGCTAACTGGCCATGTTAGTACAAACTATCTGAACATGGCAATGAAACTTTCTTGTTTGCTTCACTTTCTGAAGGACGGCACTATGGTGCAGTCAGCTGTGAGGGATGTAAAGGATTCTTCAAACGAAGTGTGAGGAAAAACCTGACCTACAGCTGTCGTAGCAGTCAAGACTGTGTGATCAATAAGCACCATCGCAACCGCTGCCAGTTCTGCCGGCTTCGGAAATGTTTGGAGATGGGCATGAAGATGGAATGTGAGTGTTGAATTTGTGTCCACAATATTGCTGCAATATTGCACAATATGATAACATTGCCTAAGTGTTTGAAACTAATTTTCAGAGGTATTTTGGTAAAGGAAGTGTAAAAACTTTAGTACAATAGTATTTTTAATGCAGGGTTTCCAGGCGCGTGTAGCAGTTCTTGTACAAACTAAATACTAACTGACAATTGACATCTGGCATTCTGTGGTTCATGTTACGTTGTAAGTTTTAAAGTGGGTCAATTGCACACACACTGTGGTAGGAGTTAGTTATGTTTCCTGTAGCAGAACCATCAAGAGCAGTAATGATATTGGCTGGTGCTGAATGGTGGTTTGTTTGTGATACAGCGACTTTCACTTTTAAAGGATCATTTTGAGCAGAAGCCAAATTGGCTTGCATTCATACCTCAGTGATGCGATTCATTTTTTGACCAAATCACTTCCCCAAAGTGATCTCGGCACTTAGGCTCAAATTGACTTAAACTTTATCTATACCATGTTTTTCCTTCATTTTCCATTTCCAAAATCACTATCGTGCCTTACCTGCTTTGGAGCAAGGACATGTGTTTACCTGCTTGCTATTGATTTATCCAGCAACCTGGAGAGGTACAGCACCTCTAGAAATGGCACACACATCCTGCACAAGTTACATACTGTATTATACCTTTTAGGTCTTATGGAACTACATTGTTCTAATCCTTACATGACCATTTTGAGGTCACAATCTCTCTTGTTACTATTACCACTTCTGAATCTCGTTCTCAACCTTAGTCCTTAATACGAGCTGTTCCAATTCTTCAGTTACAACAACAACAACAACAAGATTCCATTTATAGAGCGCCAAGATAGATATACTAGTGGGCTCAGTTGCAGGGAGGGAAGGGAGGAGCGGAATCCTGAGGATGATTGTGCTTCCTAACTGAGTTAAAGTTGACGATGGTGCAATAGGATTTCATCCTTGCGATGTCATAGGCAAATTGCACATCTGACTGTTATTCTTCCCCCCTACTCTTGACATTCAGTGTTGGTGTTCCTACCTTGCATGATTTGAAAATTTAGTTTACGAGTTGTATCTGAAGTTATGTAATTTTTATTGATTCATAATGTCTTTGAGAATGGCCTTTAACTTAAATATGATACGAAATTCTCAAGAACATTTACCATTGCTGACACCATTGTGCCTTTCATCAAGGCACAATATGACATCCTGTGAAATCTGTCTTAGCTTCTCAGGCAGGACAAGGAGAGATCATCGTCAGACGCTGGAATCCAGGTATAAGCACAAAATACATCACCAGAGTGAGTCCAGTAAGTTGGGTTTGGTCAGGGGAATCTGCCCCCATGTACCTACCATATCGCCCTGGTCTATTAAAAAGTTCCAATCTTGGTAAGAAAAAACTACTGATAAGAACTGTTTTATGACCAGGTTTAACTCTATCTGGAGCTGTTATTTATTTGAATCTAATTCTGGTTGAACACATTTTGTTTGTTGTAATTCCTATCGTGATCTAGCTGTTCAGTGTGAGAGGAAACCAATCGAGGCACAACGGGAGAAACCAGCAAACTGTGCAGCTTCAACAGAAAAAATCTACATCCGGAAAGACCTAAGGAGCCCTCTTACAGCCATGCCAACTTTTGTTGCAGAAAAAGACAGTGCAAGGTATAGTTAGCTGGGAGATGGTACTGTGTAGCTGTCATTCATACACTTGCATCAGAGTGGGGTGTAGTGTTTTACTGTCCTTAAATTATACCCAAGCTAATACAATACAAATTACATTTACACAGTGCCTTTCACGTCAAGAGAATGTCCCAGGGCACTGGACAGTCAGGATTTGGAATGGCATGAAAGAGGAAACTGTTTGTTAATATTGCTCTGAGATCTTGTCATATTACTTAGGAACAACTTACAAGTTAAGACTGATAATAATTCCCAGGGAGCCCTGACTATAGCAAGAATTCATCCGAACTTTGTGAAACCTTTCACTGCAGACGTTCCCAAGTTCCGATCTTACTCCTCCTGCGTTGAAGATCCAACTCATTTTGTTCTTTCTCTCATATTTTCCCCAGTTATTTTTGCTGACATCAATATCGCTGGCCAGAGTCAGCAGCTCATAGAAAAATCACATTTTAAAAATCTGTTCATGGACATGTGAAAATGGAATATTTCTGTTGAATTTTACAACCCGATTGTTGATTTCTGTGTTGTACACAGTTTGACTTTAAGTGAGAGATCACACATGGAATTAAAAATCTGGATACAACCAATCCTCTGGTGAATGTTGCTCTGTTGCAGAGAAATCCACCATGTACTGTGGCATTTTACCTACTCTGGGTTGGTGGTCAAATGTGGCATATTGTTTCTCTTTTCTTTCAGATCGCCAGCTGTTCATAAGGTCACTCTACACTAAATAGCGCGGGGTGACCTTATGGACAGCTGGTGATGCGATTATGTTATTACAGTAACTTTCAACGACAATAACATAATTACATTTGTATAGCGCCTTTCACGTCAGGAGGACATCCCAAGGCGTTGGTTTGGCTCATTAAAAAAATGGATTTGTAGTCTCTGCACGTACATATACGAACAGTAAAAACGAAGCTTTCCTTCATTTTCAGTTAACAGCTGAACTGCAGTTCTATACAAGTTACTACAATGGAATAATGTTTGCTGTCCCCTAATTTCCTTTCCTTTTAACTTGTATTAACACAGGCAAAGAGGAACAAGAGCATGCCCACAGCCTGTTCCCGTAGTTGATTGGATCTTGGCAAATCTTTTAATTGTAATGACCTCTTTCGCAGAAACTCCTTAATACTTTGAATAACATCTACTTCCTAAGTATCTGTCTACCTTTTAAACATCTGCATTGATTTTGCCTCTGCGTCTTGACTGTTTAGTGGAAAATTAAGGAAAGCTTTTAGCTAACTATGAATATTTGAATTTTAGTTAAATTTTTAATGCTTCTGATAATTCCAGGATTCCATTTATCCCCAATAGGTCCTGGATACCTGTGACTGAGAAGTTGCAGTAGATCTGAGAACAATGTAGATTTGTACTTTACCCAACTTTGTTTCCCATTTTCTTTATAGGCAGTCAGGTCTGTTTGAATCCGGAGCGCTAGTGAACATTCAGCAGCCATTAATTCGGACAGATAGTGGTACTGTTGTGTTGGCTACAGACCCTAAGGTAGGAGCTTTTTTATGAATACTACATTGAGAGAGCATATATAAAACTTACAGGTAAAATGTATCTTAAAATTGCCCTTCATACCCTTAAATTCTCCTTCAACAACAAAAACAACAACTTGTATATAGCGCCCCTCATACAGGATAGCGTCCCAGAGCACGTGAGAGTGGTGGAGCACGATGCTGAGCCGGGGGAGGTGACCGTAGCCATGATCGAAGAGAAAGGCATATTCTGAAGATGGGGAAGGGAGGGATAGAGGAAGAGTTTTCCAGAGTTATGGGGTGTAATGGCTGAAAGTAACCACGGATGGTGGAACGAAGGACCCGAGGGACATGCAGGAGGCTGGAGCCAGGTGATCGGAGGCGAAGAGTAGTGGGTTAGGGAGTAAGCAGGTCAGGAGGTGTCAGGGCATGAAGGGATTTGAAGACGAGTGCGAGGATCTCGAAATCAATCTGTTTGGCGACAGGGAGCCAGTGGATCCTGGCCAGAACTCTTGTGATGGGGGTACAGAGTTTAGTACGGTGGTGGAGTTTTGGATCAGCTGGATTTTCACAATCCTTCTAGTGTGCAGCCAGTTCTGAAAGGACCATTGAACCAAAATGAAATGCAGTATCAGCCAAATAAGAAAAGGCGATTTGGATTCATCCCAGAGGTCAGGTGGACGGGTAGCACAGCCAGTACCAGTATATCCCATTTGACCTGATCCCTAAGCCCTTTGGATAAAACACAAGTGCTGATTGTGCACCAGATCACCCTTAGAATATCGCCCTAGTTTAATCAGCAATTTCAAAATACCACTCTAACATGCAGGTATCCGGAATTGATATAACTATTCAGTTAACCACAAATCAGCTGCTTTGCTGAAAAAAAAATGCTATATTTATATTCTCCCTTTGTTTTTAGGCTGAAACTAGCCAGGGTGATTTGGGTACACTGGCTAATGTTGTCACCTCCCTTGCAAACCTGAGCAAGGTCAAAGAGGATTCACAGAGCTTAAGTGACCTTTCCACAATTGAAGCACTTAATAATGGAGATGCCACAGTCACGGAACTGCAGCAAGCGGACCAGTCTACTAGTGAGATTACACGGTACGCAGAGCTTACCCTGCATCCATTAGCAGTAAATTGGTGCAATTAGGTCGATAATAGTTGTCTGTCTTGGTTTATTGGGTGAAGAACCTTTGTGAACAAACCGAGGGTGCCTAATGATTTCCTATTTAATACAGGTTTCATTCCTATGACTAAATTGAGCTGATTGCACTCTGCTTCATAAATAGTCTTGTTATGGTCATCGTAAAATAATTTTGAATCCCAGGAGGAATAACTGGAGCAAGTTGTCTGGCAAAACTACTGAACTATTGTGACATCGAGTGGGCATTGCAATAAAAAACTGAAAGGGGACTGACCACAGTGTCGATCTGATAGCGTTATTTTTATTCACTCTGTGGCAACGAATTTGTTACATATTTGAAGGCTTGATGATGCATTTCCTCGGTAACAATGTCACTAAAACGTTAGGAAATGTTATCCATTACCAGAAGTCTTCATGAACTTTTAAGTGGATGTTTTATTTATTTGGATAAGGGTCCCCTGGAAAGCTTTTAAAAACTAAATTCAAAGCCATTAGGTTTCCCTCGGGCATTATTTTTAAAATGCATGCGCAATACAAAATAATATATTTTTAATGTCCAGCGTGATCAACCTCTAAGCTCATTGGTTCTGCCTGCCTCCATTTTAGCCGAGGCAACAGCTGCAGTAAGCGTCCCAGCACTGCCTTGGTAATAGAGTTAGGAAACACGGCTCAGCCCCCCACATGGCAAATGGTAGCAACGAGAGTGGAACTCTGCAACGTTATGTGCTTTTCTTTTTAAATAAACACTCGCAATCGGCAGCTTGTCAGTTATCCTATGCCCCGTAAGGCCCGTTACTACCTAACGTGTATCATGATCTCATTAAACTTAAGCGTTAACGTTTAGCTGTCAGCCCATGTGGGATCATGTTGCCTGTGTGCTGCGCTTAGCTAGTGCTGCTCACGTGATGGGCGAACATTGTGTGATAGAACTGCTGATACACACGAGCGACAGTGTTACCCATATATTCTACTTGTATTGTTAGTGAAAATATTTTTAATCTCACTGTTCACCTGAATAGCCCTCCAGGCCTGCCTCTCTAACCTTGACTATGACTATGATCTGTAGCCAGTCCAAACCTACCGATAAAGTGGCACCTGCAGTGAAACTCGTGGGGATTTTTTTGCTGTCTTGTATTTTTTTCTTACTTGGGGCTAAATGTCCCCTTACATGAAACTGCAAGTCACTGACTTGGAGAAGACCATGTACATGTCTTCTAGATCAATGACTGATAGCTCTGAGCTCACACAGCAGGCTTGTTTCTTATAACAACTTGAAGACCTAGAGTGACCCATGCATAAAGCAGCGTACAGAATAGTTTGCTACTGATTATTGACGGATAGAAGCCTGAAACGAGTGGAACACAGGTCCCATAATACTGTATTGTCGATAGCAACCAATATTATTATTGGTTGCTATCGACAATACTATCGACGATTATTACCGACGATTATTACCAATAATCCTTGCATTTGATATAGTGCTTTGCCATGTCTTCGAGATGTCTCAAAGCGCTTGACAGAATATTGTTTGTTACAGGGCATTTGACACTTTGGCAAAAGCACTTAGCCCTACAGACGGCAGCACAGGACAAACCCTGGCCGAAAGTATGGATCCTCTCGGTACAGGCAACATTCAGCTGATCAGCAGAGACCAATCTATGCCAATAATCGAGGTGGAAGGACCTTTACTTACAGACACTCATGTGACATTCAAGGTTTGTCTTCTTAAGAGTTGATAGCAGTGTACTTTCTAATACTGTATATTTGAGTTAAGTGCTTATAATAATATAATAATAATAATTCTTAAATTTGGCCTTTCACCCTGGGACGATTCCTCAAAGCTTCACAGGATGTTCTGCAAAGCTAAGTAACTATATTTTGTAAGCAAATAAAATACACAATCTGGCTTTCTATGATGATGGCATACATAGGGTTTCATTAAACCAGATCTCTTCCCATTGACTTTTGTTGTGTATAACTCCTGACCCACACAGACTTTATAATCCAGCTTTGAGCATAAAATGTGCTACAAATTTCATTAGTCAGCACACTTAATATTGTCAACCAGGATTTATTGCATTGTTTTTTCCACCCACTTGCACTTAAGGACCATTTTCTACAATGGGGTGGTTTTTAATACAGTATTGATTAAATTGCCATGTTAAGCAGGGCAGTGCAAAAAAATCCCAAATTTGTAATTGCTTTATGAGCCAGCCATTTCTCTGGAAAGTAGTTAGAGATTTAATAGGATTCGACTGTGTTCCAAGACACTTGCCCTTCATTTGTTTTTCTTACTGAACAAAACCTTTTCTTGACATTTCAGTCCTTTTTTTTTTAAATTGTAAATTGAATGCAAATTATTTTCAAACAATTGATTTGCTTGTATTGGATTGCGGAATAATTAAAAACGCAAGGAAGCAATTGACGGACTTTTGTCATTGTCACAGTTAGCCACTTACATATTCTTAACTGTACTTAAGGAATACTATAAAAAGGAATGTAGTGAAATCCCTCAACTGAAAGATTTCCCCTCCCCACACCAAAAAAACTAAATAATGAAAGCAACTTTGTGGTATGGATTTTTTTTAAAAAAAAGTTATTTCTTGACATTTTTAATGTCTTAATCACTAAAGTGATGCTGTCAGTGCATCGGAAATGTTTAACCCTGGTTGTCAAAGATAATAGGGAATGAAGGCCAAACCGAACCTAAATGTAATTGTCCATATATCACATGTCGATTACAATTGCTGTGACATATTTGAACAATAAGGGACATTTGTGAATAACTGATTGTTTTTTGTGATTTAATTTGGCAGCTAACCATGCCTAGTCCAATGCCAGAATACCTAAATGTACATTACATCTGCGAATCTGCATCCAGGCTGCTCTTTCTCTCCATGCACTGGGCGAGATCTATCCCAGCATTCCAGGCCCTAGGGTGAGAACTCATTTCTATTTTGTGTAAAATTTAACCTGTCTGATTATTTTTTTCTAATGTTTTCCCTATTAGCACATACCTCTCTGCTCCTAGTGTGGCCTCCTCTTGCTAGGGTGCAGTTCCATGGTTACTGGTTACCCTCTGGTACTCCCCCAAGAAGTCGTTGTTCATGTGTGAGCTTTAGTAGTGAGTATCAGCAGGCCACTCGACTAGAGGGCATCGTAGCCAAGGATTGTACAAAATCATCAAATATGCAGTATTAGTTGGAGAATTAGAAACTTGATTTATCCGCAGACAGCAGCATATCATTTAGATTGCCCACTCTTGGTGAGGGTAATGTGTGGCCAAGAAAGGCAAAAGAGAATAACAACAAATTACTTTGTATAGTGCTTTTCACATCAGAGGATGAGAAGGAAACAATGGGGATGAAAGAAGAGTTCCATTGGGGTATGGATGTTCTGGATAAATGATAGTCATTTTATTGGGAGCCTGAAAGGTTTCATATAGATTAATGTGGCATATTTAGGGGGTAAATCCATGTGGTGTATTTTAATATTTTTTTACATCTTTTAGTCAAGACTGTAACACTAGTCTGGTGCGTGCCTGTTGGAATGAGCTGTTCACTCTAGCTCTGGCACAGTGTGCTCAGGTGATGAACCTCTCCACCATTCTGACTGCAATTGTGAACCACCTACAGACCAGCCTACAACAAGGTAAGTGTGTGGAGATCAGGCCTCAGAGGGAATGGGGAAGTTATCAAACACGAGTGCTAGAAAATACACAAACAATGTTTTTTTTAAAAAATAGCCTGCAATGCAAGGCTGACTTTGGATTAGAAAAGGCAAAATTGCTTTCCTGAGTGGCTGGTTTAACTTGATGGCTATATTTTTAAGTGAATCTGTATTTTGATATTTGAATTAAGTTGGCTTTTGTTGACTTAAATAATTCAAATGCCATCAAAGGATACCTATAAAACAGTGCATGTTTTATTCTCAAGATGACTGGAAAAAAATATGGTATGATGTCTGTGATGCTTACACAACATACGTGAGCTGACATTCCAGTTGGTGTTGCATGTAGGATCTTTGGTGACGTTGGCCACCAAAGGTATTTCCTCATAATTGCGCATTGCCAAAAATGCCACATGTAGCGCCATCCAGTATTTTAGCCAACAGACTGCAATAGCAAAGCCTTAAGCAAAAAAGGTTGAGGATGTGTATCTACACACACGGCGACCCTGTTACAATGTGGGCCAATGGAAAATGGCTGCCTGCCCCTTTTATAGTCATCGGGTTGCACCTGATATCACTTCCCGTTTGCATACGCTGTAGGTGCTGCATGTCCTGTTGAGTCATTTTCCTTTGCAAAGTGACTCAGTCGTGCATCTTTAGCACTATGCATAGCGCACATGATATAACGTCAGCTACACTTCCTGCGCATAGTTTACTTGTGGACTATTTGGATGCCCAGACAGCAGTGTTAAGTTCTTTAAGCCATCCTCCCGACACGAAAGACTATATAAATGTAAATTTTATTTTATGTGCGCGACACATGGGAAGTAACAACACTGATGACCTGGATGGTGTCCCATTTTTACCACAGGAAGCCAGCTAGACAGTGCCGAAGCCAGGTGTATCGATACAAATCATCTGTTATTAATAACAATAATCGTTGCATTTGGTATCCCTCCTTATCACTTCAGGAGGATGTCTCAAAGAGCTTTGCATAATTTATTGTGAAATGAAGCGACTGCATTTGTAGACATCTGTTATACTTCACATAGAATATATCTCAACTATATAATACCTCAAAATGGCCAATTTGTACACAGTTACCTCCTTTGTAAATGACACAGGAAGCTCTTCTGTCCGATCATGGGCATTGTTACAGGACTTCTTCCAGTTTCATTATGATTCTACTCACGGCACTTTGACTCAGTAGCAACACAATCGTAACCAATTGCTTCTGATTCCTAGCTCTTTTTCTATTTTAACTTCTAGAACAGAAGCTATTGGAATTCAACCTGCATATCCTGGCTTCAACTTGTCATTGTTTGTTTAAGCTGTGTTGCTTTGTGATAATGGAACTTCTTGGTTATATTGCAGCTTTATAATTCCCTTCACGGTATCCATTAGCTTCTGTAACATACACCTAGAATATATCTTGGAGATAGGCTAAAACCTATGTGATTATTACATTGACATTTATGTTTTGTACTTGATTGCAGCAGTATTTTTATGATGTGAGTTGGTTAAAGTTTAGCTCATTACTCCTTTCAAAAGAAATCTGTCAACAAAATTGAATTAAGCATGTAATCGGTATTGTACATAATTAATTCAAGACTATTTCGAATAAGTGTTAAATATCTAGATTGATACAAAAAGACGATGCCAGTGTATCACCTGAATTCTGCTAGATGAGGAAATAGTGGTGTCCTCAAATATCATAATAATCCTTGTAACGCCTTATCACGTCTTTGTGACGTCTCAAAGCACCTCACAGAATACACTGTAGAGTGAATCGACTATGTTATGTGGGCGAAACGCACAAAATGCAATGTTGCCAAGTACATTTGTGCACAGCACCACGCAGTTCAGAGCAATGGGATGGTACTGATTTTGTTAATAAACTTATAATTTCCCTATACAATACACTGTCTACTTTGCTGGACAGAAATATTCGACAGATTGAATTTGCCTTTAATGAGAATTGATTGTAGTTAAATATTCTAGCTTACTTTTCCTTTGTGTTGTCTGATTTGCTTACAACCATGGATTACCCGAACCCAGAGCCCACGTCTCCAGATGGAGTTGTAACGTCGTTGGAGGAGCCCGTCGGGAGGAAGCAGCATGAAGGAGCCGGAACAGGTTGAGCAAAAAGCAGAAGCACATGACGTACAGTGGGTTCCTTCTTCAGATCAACTGTGCCAAGATCCAATCACACTTAAAATCAAAGAACTATTCCACTTGCATCCACTTTTTCCTCTTCATTACCATTTTGTTCTGCCGAAACAAAATCAATTCAGATTTGATTTTAATTTGATTTTAGATTTTAAACCATCTCCCCACTTCTACTTTTATAGTTGTTTCTTTGCTTCAAAGAAAAGTTGATGTGGAACCTACTTATTATCACTAGTAGCCACTACTTCATATTACCACTCGATGCTACAGAATTATGTCTGAGTATATATTAAAGCATCCAGCAGGATGCACAACATTTTGAAGTCTGGAATTATGATAAGTAAACCCTATCCGCACAATACTTTAATCAGTATAGTATTGCTGTCTGGTAATGAAGAGGAAAAGGGATGCAAGTGGAATAGTTCATTGATTTTACGTGTGGTTGGATCTTGGCACAGTTGATCTTAAGTGGCCTGTGCTGCACGTGAATAGTTTTCTCCTACTTTGGCAGTGTGACGTACAGAACGAAAAGTACCCCACTAAAAAGACAGTCAACATAATCCTTCCACAGCAGTGAGAACGAGAGCTTCAATTTCAGAACTAAGAGATTTCAGCATTGGAAACGTTCCCTTCTCAATAGCAATTACAGTGGAGTTCAGAGGAATCTGCAGTTAATATATAAGCTATTATCTGTGGTACATACTATTATCCACTGTAAAATTAGCAATGTTCATAGTTTATTCCTGCAGCGGTGTTCACCTCTTAAAATGACTTTGCAATAGTTTCTATTCAATCCATAAAGAAATGAGGCCAAAAAATACCAAGAGGATTTTTTTACTGTGAACCTAAACCTAAATAAAGATTTGAGGCCCATAGTTCATTTTACCAACAAGGTTGAAAAGCTGTAATTTAGAAAGAAGTGGTTGGGAAGGAGGAAAGGTTGTGAACCCTGAGTGCTTGCAACTGGAAAACGTTCTGTTGATTTGCCCAGCAAGAGTTTGGTTCTGGTCGTTGGAAAGTGAGTGGGACTGTGTGTGAAGTGAAGAGAATAGACCTGGTGCAGAGCTTTGACACTGAACATGCATTCTCAATGCACCATGGAACAAAGATCATTCTAGGAGTCTGTACGTAACCGTACAGAACCGTACGTTCTAAACCCGTGGTTATCATAAATATGTTGTACTTTTAATATGATTTTAAAATTTTGCTCAGGTCAGATTTCTTTACAATTGTGTGGTAAAGCAGATTTTTAAATTATTTTGAAAATCCTGATTACGCCTTTGCAGTGATCTGAAGGCTTACAAATAGATGAGTCTCTGCATTGCAGTCTGATCATGACAGCTGATAAGATAATCCTTTGCTTTGCTGTAGACAAGCAAAGCTTCTCACTCTTTGACTTCAGAGCGCTCCAATGCACTGGAAAAGATTACACCAGGCAACTTAATATTTATATATTATCTAGTTGAAGGGTTGAAATGTGTTTAGAGATACCTGAACTAGGTACAATCTACTCTATCTGTTCTCTACTAAATTCTGAGAGTTTGCTTCATTCGCTCTTTGGAATCCTGCAATGTTACCTGCCAGCAATATTGCATAACACCATCTCACCTTTATGACTCCTAATCTGTCAGAAATCTGCCAAATCTAAATTTGAGGATCTAGACAACCTGATCTGCCAATCGACTAACAACTGTTTAGGCTAGCGACTTCCTGCTAGCCTAAACAGGCTTAGGGGGGAAAGGAAACATGCCTGATGTTTCTTCAGAGTACAAAAGCTCTCTGTTGTTGTTCTTTTGGGAAATAGCTATGCTCTAATAATCTATATGCTGTTATTTCCAAGAAGATCAGGAAACCATTCTGGTGCCCTGGGCATTATCCCTCCCTCATCCAAATTCACAAAAAAGTTAAATGTCGCCATTCAAAAAACATATCCAGTGTGGGCACCCAGCCCTCACAAGATTTCTGGAGAAAAGATCATGAAAATAATAGCAGGTGTGAAGCTAAGGAATCCCCTGCCCACCCCTTTCAAACTGCAAAACAATTCCAAGTAGAAGGATTGTTGAGTGGCAGCACTAGTTACCTCCCTTGGTGCTCTTCCTAACAAACCTAAGTACCACTTTGATTTAGGAATGACAAGGTCCCTGTGAATGAGATACTGTAGGGTAAATTGAAACCAGGAGGGATTTGAAACAAGTGGATTGGAGAGCAAAGCAGAGGAGATATATTTTGGCAGCAGATTTTGAAGCGCTAATGTATCATCAGCCAACTATATTTAAGGCAGATACTGGGACGGTGCTTGTCAAGTGTAAAAATGGACTGGAAAAACAGCTAAAATGTACCAATTGTGGAGTTTCCATGGAATAGCTTACAGCAGCTTATGAGCATGACATGTTTGGTAACTGAGCTTGCAGATGATCTTGTCGTAATTGGAACTGTTTTTGCTATGCAGGTGAAATGAAAACCTAAACTGATGTTAGAAGAGTGTTCTGTTACTAAATAGAAGTTGTTTTGAACGTATTTTCCATTAGGCACATTTTATACTATCGAGTACTCACAGAATAACTATATTTTCAGTGTTGCTAAATCGTTACCACAAAGAAAAATATAGTGTTCAAATCTTTAGTGTTCAAATAGTGTTCAGTTCTTTCTTCCCTCTCCTACCTCCTAAAGGTGTTCAATTTCCGCCCCCCCCGTACTGCAGGGTGGACAGACAGCTGCAATTCCCCACTCCCAACCCACTCTGCTGGTGGTTCAATCAGACCCACAGTGCGATGGGAAATAACACACGTCTGGTTTCAATAAATACCAGCTTCGGAAGTTTATTCATTGTGGCCTTTTTTTATTCCTTTGTACACTGAAAGCAATGGCTTCTGTTGCAGTACAATTATTCTGGTACAGACCGCTCTCATGACCATTTTTCATTTCATGAGCATTGTGAGGGGAATAATATCCTTGCCTGATTTCCTCACAAGTACACCTTCCAGCAAGTATGAGTAGATTGTGAATTTCCTTCAACTTGAGGTGCGCTGCAGGTCCATTGACAAATTCGGAGAATTCTGTACCTTAAACACGATTGAATTACTGGACTAGGAGCACGTTTTATAGACGGTTTATTTCTGCTGACGCGAAATATGCTAGAGTTTTGTTCCTACAATATTCTTTTTATTCGCAGACAAGCTCTCGGCGGACAGGGTGAAGGTGGTAATGGAGCATATCTGGAAACTCCAGGAGTTCTGTAACAGCATGGCCAAATTGGACATCGACGGTTTTGAGTACGCTTACCTCAAAGCCATTGCCCTCTTCAGTCCTGGTAAGGCTTCCAAATGCACCTCGGAATTCAAACTGAGCTTCACAGTAGTGATGGAAATTAAACTTTGATAACTGACTAAGCTGTTATTTAGTTGTATTTTGTCCACTGATATGGCTTCAAGACAGTGGTACTCATAATACAGCCACAGGCAATTTTCAGCCCATATTCTCAACATCTCTGCCCCTTGGAAGTCACCTCTCAGTGCCTCTCAGCTTCCATTCATGACCTTTCCAGCCAGCCATTGAATGTTGCGGACTGATTACTGCCCTCACTCCTTCCCACAGAATAAGCCTATCTCTTGATAACATTCCTTTGCTGATTCATAGTGACATAGTGAATGTTATCACGAGGCAGGCTTATTCTCAGCTATATTAAAATGGGGCCTATAGTTTTAATAGAACTCTCTGCTTTGTATTGTACTTTCACTTCTCTGTGAGGATTGTCAGACTTCCACTTAGCAACTGCATACATGAGAATGATTAAAATCAGGAGCTCACTGTGGGAATGACATCACTCCACAGTGCAGCATTCTTGCAAGAGGCCCTAAAGAAAATTTATATTATTTCAATTTAACTTTGCACTGTGTCTCTAAACAAAAAGGCTAGTTGAGAACATTGTTCTAATGCACAAATATACAAATGCTATTTCAGAATATGTGTAACTGCCTACCCAAGAACTAGGCAGGCAGTAACCAAGAATTTCAGGCTACCCGAGCGAGCACTATTCTTTTTCAAAATAACTAGAAACTGAAAAATGTTCTGCAATAACTTAAGGAAGAGTGACTGTGTCAATGGTTGTGTTATCTCCCACTTTTGATTGTTGGCAAGATGTAAGGAATACTTTGCAATCGCCTGAGAGCTAACATTATTAATTAGGGCCCGGCTGACATTGTGATCACAGAGAAGCAATGGTATTTGTTACATATCCAATTCCACAGCAGTATGGAGAACATGCGGACCTCCACACTGTTTTTATTGGCCTCACAAAGCAGTTGACATGGTGAGCATTCAGGATTATGGAGACACATTAATTGCATATAACAATTGCAGGGGTGTTTGGTGGACAGAGTCAGTTGATTTAGAACTGACAGAACTATTAAACTTCGCCAGTGCGGTCAAGCAAGACTGTCCTGGTAACAAGTGTTTTCGGATTGTTCTTTGCAACTAAGTAGTATGAGGCCACCAGGGACTTGAAGCAAGGTATGCATTTTCAATTCTGCAATGGTCAACTTAACACTCTTCTCTAAAGGTGACGGAAATGCTGATGAACAAAAGAATGTCTGATGCTGATGACTATGCACTTGAAGCCCATTCAAAAAAAACACACTGCAGCTGAAATGCAATGACACCCAGAACTATGGGGTCTCCAATTCCCGTGCACGTTTGAATAATATTTTGACTAATATCAAATTGGCTCTTCCATAACCAAACAATTCAGTTTTCGGCACAAACCACTGGTTGATATAATGGTTAGCTGAAATCATGGTGCACACCAGATTGTAGCCTGCTCCATTCTGAAAGCATCAATCCAAAAAATGGAAATTGACGCAATGTTTTTGCGTAATTTTTGATGCTGCCCCAATTCTTTACATTTCACAGCTTCCAAATTGTAAGTATGAATTGATAAGTGTCATTTGGTCCATCAAACCCATTCTACTAAAGAAAAACAACAGTAATGCGGTCACTCAATCCACGATTGTGAGACACTGCTATGCGCAATTGGCTGCTGCATTTCGCACACAAAATATAGAGTCAATTGACTTTACAGTATATTCTGAAGCAGATGTCTCGAAGACATAATAAGGTGCTATATCAAATGCAACGATTATTATAATGTTGATTTTCGCTCCCCCAAGCTGAAGTCTACGCTGTAGATCTCCTCATCGCTTCCGTACCCCCAAACTGACTCATAGAGAGCAGATGACTTCAGGCGCACTGACTCACTGATCTGAGAGATGAGTTTTCACTCAGCTAATCTGGGGAGACCAGCTGTCCTGAAATAAATGTCCCAGGAAAGTTATACATTTTATACCAGCCAGTATGGAATGTATGGGGTTATCTAATTCTTCAAGTGCATGGTATTTCATTACCAAACTGACTTCAGATTATGCAGTATTATATATTGGTATCCATACTTGGTAATTTTTGTGTGAGTTTTACTTATGTCGGTACAAGTTTGCTTTTTCTTCCTTAAGATTTCTAGAACGTTTTGAAAGGCACGTTTAACTTTTCACCAATCACCGATAATCAAATTTGTCATTTTTCAATACTTACATCCTAATATTGTTTTGAAGGCTGCAGCCCAATGATGCAGAAACATTTGATTTGCATTGAGATTGCTTGTGCTGTTGTCACTTCTAGAATGAAAATTGTCTTTGTACAATAACCCCTTATGCAACAGGAGAGCAAAGATCAGATTACCGTTTCCAATAAGAGTCTCCTCCATCTTGATTGACATTTATTTTCTCTAGATCACCCAGGACTGAACAATACAAGTCAAATTGAAAAGTTCCAAGAGAAAGCCCAGATGGAGTTACAAGACTATGTGCAAAAAACATACCCTGATGACACATACAGGCAAGTTCCCGGCAGATTCACAGTCCAAATACATTACACTTCCTTACTACATGGTAATCTTATTAAGTAAAATAAACAACATTAGTTCTTATGTATAGCCTTCTATGAATACACTGGCTGCAGTACAACAGGCAGGATGAACTTGTCCAACTTTGATAATCTTACCCATGAAACGTGACCTTTGTTTCCTGAATAATAACTTGCAACAGACTTTCTCAGCCTCTAACTTCTAATTTTGAACTATAATTTACAGTGGAACAAAAACTTGAGTAGTGCCTGGCTTTGAAAGTTAAACCTGGCCTGCCAAACCTTGGAGGCTCTTCTACCACTTCTCTCCCACTCTAGACAAGGCACAATAAAAAGCCTTGTTATCACGTGTCAGCATTAGCTGCCAGCGTAGTTGATAGCACTCTCGTTGCTGAATCGGAAGGTTGTGATTTCAAGCCCCATATTGGGACTTTGATCCCACAACCTTCTGCCTCAGAGACAAGAGTCCTATGATGTGTGCGTAATAATAATAATCCTTGCATTTGATATAACGCCTTATCACATCTTCGAGACATCCTCAAAGCGCTTCACAGAATATACCGTAAAGTGAATTGACTTTGTATTTTGTAGGTGAAACGTGTACATGGTTTGGGTACATGTTAAATTAAAACTCATGCATAGTAATGATGTTAGATGAGTTCCCATCCCCACGACTGCTGGGAAACCTCATTAGTGAGCGGTTCCTGACGCCAGAACCTTAGGAAATAGACTGCGTGTGCGCAGCAATATTTATTACTGCAACTTTCAGAACTGATCTTTCAATAAAGCCCCGATTTCTCTGTGTTATTGCAGTGTGGCCCCGTGGTTACAGAGAGAGAGTGTAACAGTTTGTTTGTCCACAGATAAGATGTGTAACAGTAACCCGGTAAAGTGATTGAATTGAAAGGTCTGGAGTTCGCCTTATTGCTTCCAATCTCCAGGCTTTCTGGTTAGTTAGCTGTATCCTCTCAGGCTGGGCAGTTTGGGGAAACGGTTGACATTTTTAACAAATTGGGATTCATTTCGTTCGCAGACTTGCACGGATCCTTCTGCGGCTCCCAGCACTTAGATTGATGAATTCCAGCATCACAGAGGAACTCTTCTTTACCGGCCTGATTGGAAATGTTCAGATTGATAGCATAATTCCTTACATCCTTCGAATGGAGACTGCAGAGTACAACAGCCAAATCATTGGCACATCTGCATGATGCACTCAGATAAGAGGTTACAAGCCCACTCTTTTTCCTAATCCCGGCCATAATCCTGCTTTGCACCTGGAAGGAGGAGGAAATTAAAACATTGATTTACCATCATTCAGAACTGAAAAGAGTTGCTTTGTAAAAAAAAAAACTTTGGTTAACAGCACAATGTTTTCTCGCGAATGTGCTACCTGTTGTAAGACCATTACCTTTCTCACAACTAGAACGTGTTGTCTTTATTTCTGGCATCTAATTCCTGTCTCTGTGCGTCTCATCCATTCACATCTCTCGTCACTCGCTGCCATGACAATCAAACGCTGTATTAGAGATCTGCTTTTTGGTGTTTATAATTAGAATGCAAAAATGCACTCCTGAGATTTAAAAACATAAATAAAAAGGATGTTATTTTTATGCATTTTCTTCCTAGAAAAGAAAATGATGTGTAAGATTTAGAAGGTGTGGATTTGTAACATTCTGCATAGCAGTGTTGCTAGGCAGAGTGCTGTGAATAGGTAGGCTGCAAGCATTTGTGTATTATAGTAAATAACTACTGTACTTTTTAGATTGATGGTGTCAGTCTGCTGGTTTAAAAACAAAAATAATTCTAGGTTTCAAAAACCTTAAACACTGTTGCTTTGTTGACTTTTTTTGTTGTGAAATCAGCTTTGTACATGTGATTTCATGAAAAACGAGCGCATGTTCCTTTTTTATATCAAAATTTTATATCTAACCAGTGTCTTTAATCATGAAGAGAAGCTGCATTGTTGTTTTTGTATATAGAGCATAGCAATGCATGGAGGTGCTTATGCATTTCATTAAATGCTGTCTGGATGTCGCATCCCGCTTTGTTGCAAAGTACTCCTGCCTGAGAAAGGTTTATAATATTAAAGTGGAACATTTCCTTAAAACGCAGCTCTCCTTTTAATGGACCCTGTTTTTATTTGAAAATTGTTTCTTCTGTTTCCATCATACTTGGATTCTGCGCTCTGAAGAGGGAATCGGACTCGCGACTGTCAGGTTACTTTGGCAATATTTTTGGCGATTGTCTAAACCAGGATATTTGGAAATGAATTTCTTGTTCTGTGAAAGTTGTGGCAAGAGAAAATCAATTGTGTATAGTTATTTTACTTTTTAAAAATACACTTTCAAAAGATGTCTGACACGGCAATGGTTTTGTGTGTTGTTTTATGAAACCAGAGTTTACTTCTCCAGATACGTCTCGGTATTAGGGAAGAACAAAAAATAAAAAGTTGTCATCCTGGCACATGAGAGTTCACAGGACAAAACATGCCCTAAGTTAACATACGTTTGCTGTTTCCCCCATTTGAACATTGATGCACATTGTTGAGGCAGTAAAGGGAAGAGTTACAGAACTTTTTGTGGCAGTGAAGAGTGAGTTAACTCAGGATCTAATTATTTGCCTTGTAGTTACATGTTCCACCGGGTCGATTGCTTTATCTCATGGGATCTAATTGATAACTCATCGGTCTAGGCCTTTCACTGGGAACAGTTTAAACTGCTGTGTGTGTTGCATCCCAATCAAAGTTACTTCTGTCATTATAAGGGAACTGTTGATCAATGCCGGGGAGAGGCAGTTTTGTGCTACGGCCTGAGACTCAGAATCATTTATATTTAGGATCCATGTAATTGGGAGAGGGAAGAAACTTTCATAGAGTTAAGTAGCATTCTAACCCAGCCCAGAGAACGTAGAAATTCAGTTCTGTCCTGTACCTGACCTAGGAATGTTTGATGCTGACATTGGAAAGAAAAAAAGGTGGGATGATGTTGACATCTCTCATGTCGAAGAACAGACAAAATACAAATGGAATCGTAAAACGCGTAAATCGTAAGTGATTCATTATTATTAATTCCTGGTAAGTACTGTTGTGTCTAAATTAACTGCCTCACCACCATTTTTAGCTTTTTATAAAAAAACCTTTGCATGTCTTTCACATCAGGAGGACGCCTTGAAGCGCTTCACAGGATTTACTGTAAATATCCACTTTGTAGGCAAACCCGGCAGTCAATTTGCCCCTCCAATGTCAACAAACAGCCAAGAGGTGAGTGATCAATTTTATCTGGGGGATTGGCAGGGATCCAGGGAGAAACTCCCTTCTGGTTTTGTATATTCTGTGGGATCTTTAACGTCCACTTAAGTAAAGAGAAGGGACCTTCGATTAATGTCTCATCCGAACATGAGCCTGGGAGGATGACATCCTGAAATTGTATGATCAATATTTTTCCCTTCTTGTTTAATTGGGATAGATACACTAAGGTAAATGTTACCCTGACCTTGCATCTCTATTACAGTCAAGTAGACAGTAGATATATTAGATTGTGCTCTGTCTGTGTTGAGAATGTTGTTTGGCCAGTGATATATTATTGGTCTTTCACTAGCTGTGAGATTACAGAAGGAGCCAATAACACCTGTCAATTTAAATCAGTGTTAAGGAGACCAATACAGAGAGTGTTATTCCACAAATATAGTCAATTCACTTTACGGTCTGTGAAGCGCTTTGAGATGTCTAGAAGACGTGAAAAGCGCTCTATCAAATGCAAGGATTATTATTATATCGGAATCAATTGTGGGTTGTTAAATAAAATTAACCTTGATTTCCTTGTGCATATGACATGCCTTTATTCCAACGTCTCTTCACTGTGTAGCTTCTCAAATTTTCCTAATGTGCTTTGTAATCAGCTTTCTCTCAGTCAGAGTTTAAAGAGCTATTCCCCACCCCCCCCCCCCCCCCCCACTCCTTACCAGCAAGAATACTGAGATGCTATTCTTGACTTGGACTCTCGATTGTCTTTTCTGTGGTAATCTTTGTGGGACCAGTTTTAGTGTAATGAGCTAGTGGTCCTCCCGACGTGAAAGGTACTCTACAAATGTAATTTGTCGCTGCTGTTTTCTTTTTCTCTGCTTTTCAACCAGTTTCAGAAGCTTGATCTGTTTCTGATCAGATTTCTGCTGCCACCTCCTTGTGGATATCAGAATAGCAATGCAGCTGTTTTCGGGGGAAAAATATAGTCGACTGTACGAATATGGCAGTGAGGCAATCGCAGCTGAGCCCGTTTATTTTTGTCTTCATCAGGTTGCCTTCCTGCTGTTGCATCTCGCGACCAAATGGCAAACGGGCACGTTTCAACGGCGCGCCACAACGGCCAATAAAAACAGAACATTTTAAGAACAGCCTCCTGATGTCTGGGAGAAATCCCATCGGGTTCATCGGGTCCCCCCCCCCCGCCCACTCCTTGCCAGGTAAGAATATAGAAAGTCAACTCGCAGAACACTCCCCTTTTTTTTAACATTGAAATAGACAAACTGTAAAGCACTGTATCGCGGAATTAGACGTAATCGGTCTGTACCACTCACCACATCATCCTCCACCCAGCCTCATCCATTCTCTCCCGCCTATCCCCCACCCCCCTCGATACCCTATTCCTTCACGTATCCATTTATCTCACACTTACACTGCATTCCTTGTGATTATTTTCTGAAAACCCTCTTGACATATTTCATTACTCAGCAGTCTGAATAGACAATTTCACACTGTTAGTGCCAATAAATGGTCCAGTAAAAAGAAAGCCGCTTAATTAATGCATTAAGCAGATTGATAAATTAAATATTAAATCGTTTTTTTTGATTTGCACGTACAATGGTAAACCAACCCTTGAATTTGAGATAGCGCCTTATCACATTGGCGAGACACTGAAAGCTCCGTGCTCCGGGTGTATAAATGCAAGTGATTGGCGTTAGGGGTGCTATATCAATGCAAGTTGTCGTGGTTAAAGCGCTTAACAGGATTAACTGTTAACGTTATTACATTATTGTAATAACAATAATTATTAGTATTTAATAATTATTAATTATTAAGATTGCTGGCCCAGGCTTAATTTTAAAATTAATTATTTTTAAATAAAATTTTTTTAAAAAAAATATCCCTTAAGTATGTTATTTTTTCTTTAGCAAATAAGAATTGGTCACTTCAAACCCACGAGGGCTCCGCGCGGGGGCGCAGGTCGGCTGCGGGCCTTTCACCCACAAAATATATCCTGCGTATTAAATGCAAGGCTTATTATTATTATTATTATTATCATGATGATGATAAAGCACTAAGAAAGCTGCTCCCTTCTGGTTTGGGGGCAATGGGGGCAGTGGAGTCCTGTAGCTCAGTGGTTAGAGCACTCGCTTTGCAAGTGAGAGACCTGAGTTCAATTCCAGGCAGAGGGCGAAACCTCGGGCAAGTTTCCTTACTCCACACAGAGCCTAATAATAATCCTCCAAAACCAAAAACAATAATAAATTGGTCATTTTCAATCCACGACTGTTTGTGGGACATTGCTCTGCGCAATTGGCTGCCGCGTTCGCCCACAAATATACAGTCAATTCACTTTACAGTGTGTTCTGTGAAGCGCTTTGGGACGTCCTCCCGACGTGAAAAGCGCTATATCAAATGCGAGGATTATTATTATTATTATTATTATTATTATGAATGCTATTGCCCTGTGTGATGGGGAGGTGTCCCCCAGGACAGGCACAAGAGGAGCCTGACGTCACCGAGCGGTGGGCGGGGCGGTGGGCGGGTTTAGACCCCGGGGGGCAGCCAATCAACGCGGAGGAACCTAACCCCGGGGGCGGGGTTGTGTGTGCGTGTGTGGGGGGGGGAGGAGGAAACCGGAAGTGGTCTGCCGCAAAGGCTTCGGGGATGTGTAGTTCCGCCGGGAAAAGCTGGGCCTCGCCCTGCAATGGCGGGGGCGGGGCTCTGCCTACATGTCCCGGGGCGCCGCGTAATCACGTAACGGGGGGCGGACTCGCGAGACCTGCCTGGCGGCGCGCGGGACCCGGAGGGAGGCGCGAGATGCCGATGAAAGGCCGTTTCCCCGTCCGCCGGACGCTCGAGTACCTGCGCTCCGGCCCTGTGGTGCTCAAACCCTCCGTCAAGGTCATGACGGTGAATTACAACACGCACGGGGAGCTGAACGAGGGAGCAAGGTCAGGGGGTGGGGGGGGGTCTGGGTGGGGTGTGTGGGGGGTGTGTGGGGGGGTCTGGGTGTGTGTGGGGGGGTCTGGGGTGTGTGGGGGGGTCTGGGTGGGTGTGTGGGGGGGGTCTGGGTGTGTGTGGGGGGGGTCTGGGTGTGTGGGGGGGGTCTGGGTGGTGTGTGGGGGGGGTCTGGGGGTGTGTGTGGGGGGGGTCTGGGTCTGTGGGTGGGGGTCTGGGTGGCTGTGTGTGTGGGGGGGGTCTGGGTGGGTGGGTGTGGGTGGGGGGTCTCGGTGTGTGTGGGGGGTCTGGGTGTGTGTGTGTGGGGGGGTCTGGGTGGCTGTGTTGGGGGGGGGTCTGGGTGTGTGTGGGGGGGGGTCTGGGTGGGTGTGTGGGGGGGTCTGGGTGGGTGGGGGGTTGTGGGTGAGGGGGTCTTCCTATGGCTCTGATGTCCCTGGTTATTGACGGTGGGGGTGAGGGGGTAATGCGGCGCAGGTCGGTGAGAGCCAAGGCCTGGGGGGGGGAGACCCGAGAGTGGACGTTGGGGTAACTGCTGGAGTCGCACCAGCTAAACCCACACAGTTTGCCATTGATATCGCTGTCCGGCCGAGCTCTCCCGCTGCTTGTCCAGCCAGGACCACCCGAGCCGTGAGGGCTTTGGCTGCGGGGTCAACAGGAGCTGAGCGGGAGGATTCCCAGCCCCCAGTGACCGGTCTGCCCTTCTGGGTCCTGCCGATGGGCCGGGCCGGGCAGTGCTGCCATCAGCGGTGCCCTTGTACTGCAGACCCACCTGTCACAGGAATCGGACGACCGAGACCACCATAGAGGGGAAGGTCGATTCCAACATTGCGTTGCCAAGCGTGTCACCCTGCAGCCAGACATGGCATCCGGCAGGGCATTCCGCATCCAGTGTACTGTATAGTGAGAGAGAAGGGTGTCATGGAGTCATATAATGTATGAGCACATCTATAAAGAAGGTAAAACTGTTGTATAGCGAGTATACTTTAAGTTAAACTGTTCTGTGAAGGGCATTGAGACGTCTCGAAGACGTGATAAGGCGTTATATCAAATGCAAGGATTATTATACCAAGTAAATGTGCTGCCATTTGCTTCATTAGAGACAGAGTAAAAGGGGCATTCAAAATGAAGCTGATGCTATGTTGGGTTGTGGGGATTGAACTTTGCTGCTGAATGTCCTGTTGAGTTTCTTTACAAATAATCCTAATTGAATATAATAATAATAATCCTTGCATTTGATATAGCGCTTTTCACGTCTTCAGTATGCAGTATAAGCTCTGCTGGATGTTATTATAATTGTACAATGTATATTATCTCAGAGATAATCCAACTAACTAATTTTTTTTAAAAAGACATTTTTTCCTCGTCGTTCTGGCTGTAACACTGCTGATTGCGGCATAAACTGAGATTGTTGCAGAACTACACAGCTTTGTTTATAGTTAGGGAATATCTAAAACCCTCTTATCTGTTTTTTAAGCTACACTTTCATTGTACAGTACATAGGCTCTCATACAGGTGATTAGAAACAGCTTGTTGTACAGTGTACAGACTGTAATAGATGGCTACTCATGACCACTGTACAGGATGCAAGTTCTGATAAAGTGATCATCATTGTACAACGCACAGGTTTTAGTGAAGATGAAGACTGATAGAGGTGATTCTTCTGCCTGTATACTAATGACTATTATTTCCTTGCAGAAAATTTGTTTTCTTCAATATACCCCAGATTCAGTACAAAAACCCCTGGGTTCAGATTGTTATGTTCAAAAACATGACACCATCCCCATTTCTGAAGTTTTATTTAGGTAAGTGTACTTACTGTCTTGCAGATTTCTTTCTCCCAATCCACTGCGTATGTATTTATTTTGGTTTAACTTGGAATGTATACCGTCTGTGTTAAATGTTGGGACATTTAATTGATCCTCATGTTGACATAATAATTATTTGATGCAGTGCTCGGTTCTGGGATCCCAGAAGGGTTAGTCCACTGTCAATACACTTAGAATTATTGTTTGTATTATTTGATCAGTTATTAAATTAAAAAAAACTACTTTTTCACCACTGTTTGTTTATTGCTATGCATTATCAATTGTACAGATTGAATATACCACTTTTAATTGTTAATGTAGTAAATTTTATATATTTCAATGTACATTTTAATGTTAATTTTTCCAAATGTAATTATTGTTTTGTCCAGATAATGCTGAACAAGTCTTAGTCGATGTAGAGGGAAAGACCAACAAAGAGATCGTTCAGCATGTGAGGACCATCCTTGGAAAAACCCAGTAAGCATTTAGTTGTCATCGCTTCTCAGAAGAGCTGTCCCTTGGGGATGTGCTCAGGGGGTAAATAGACCAAATCCAATAGATCAAGACGCTAACAAGGTCCCAAAAGTTATGATGGTGCACGTAGCTGGACAGTGAACATGTAGTAAAGTGGGGGAACCCACATCCCGGGCCTTTGGCTGTTCACTGCAGCTGACCCAACTCTCCAGCCGTCTTGGATTCTCCTTACCTCTGGGCCACAAGAGCTTGATTAGTCGGGCGCTGGGCTTGTGGTTTGCACATCTGTCTCCCCACCAAACAGATATCATGCTCGGTCGTTTCTCAGCTTTTATGTTTGAAAACTGAACAACATTCTTACTTAATTATTGAGGGATTGCCTGTTCAATAGATCAAGCCCAGTAACAGTCTGGTTAATGTGGCTCTTGTAGGTGAAGTAACTACCCCCCCAAATGGTTTTGGACCTGGTAAGGGAGAGAAGCCAGTTGTGTACATTCTCTATCTTTACTCTGCTCACACCCAGCAACTGATGCTAGAGCTTTGTAAGGTAAATTAGCAACTGTCCACTTGATCTGTTCTGAAGGAGCTTGGCACACAGTTCGGTCAGTTGCCATAATTTTTTTCAGCACAGACTAATTGCTATAGTTAAGGAATATTTAAAACCCACTGCATGTCGGGAGCAGCTTGTCAGTTTCCTCATAACAGCTGTTGCAGTGAATATTGAGCGGCTGCTGTCCTCTGTATTAAGGCAAAGCCTCCCTGAGAGGCAGAGTTTGGCACGTTTATCCAGCACACAAGATGCGATTCACTGGGGGAGAAGTTAGAGTTTTCTTGGAAAGATTCAGAAACATAAGTTGCAGAAACCCAGTTAACTTCAGTTGTTCTTTTTTCTCCTGAAGGGTAATAATAATAGTAATAAACCTTGAATTTGATACAGCACCTTATCAAGTCTTCGAGACGTCTAAAAGCGCTTCACAGAATTTACTACAAAGTGAATTAACTGTATATTTTATGGGTGAAAGGGTAGAAGTGATTTGACTCTGTTTTGCTCAGACATTAATAGCAACATTTCTGTTGAATTAATGCATACCTTCTCCCACACAGAGAGGTTCTCCAAGCAGAGGAACAAGCTCAGAAGAAGCAGTCACACCCGGCGCACTTTGGGCCCAAGAAATATTGTTTGCGAGAGTGCATTTGTGAGGTTGAAGGACAGGTGCCTTGCCCCGGTATTGTCGCTCTGCCAAAGGAAATGACAGGAAAATACAAGGCAGCACAGCGAGCAGCGCAAAAAGCAAGTAGTTAACATCGGGGATTTGTAAATAAAGCTTTGGACAAGGCTGAAGGAAGTTTTTATTTCCGTTTTGTACTCCGTCCTGGAAAGAAAATACCACCGAGAAGATTTCATACTGGAATTAAATATTGCACAGAGAGACATTGTTAAACTAAATATCAACTGATACGGTTTGTCACACAGAAGTTAGGTGCATGCTTTATATCCTTTTTAAAAATCAAGTCCAGGCATGAGTAAAAGGTACACAAAATTGGTTAGTGCGTTTTATAGATACACAAATAGTTCGGCACCAACTACAGTCCAACTCAGGCAGAATCTTCCACATCTTATGTAGATTATTAGTCCTAGAATCAAATCAGGTATTTTTCCACAAGCAAAAGGGGGGTTATTTTCAGCCATCCCTGGCTTCATTTTGCCCTTATTTGAAGATTATGCTTCTTGTGCAGTGTTGAGTTAATGTGGCTCAATGCTCTTTAGTTTGATGAACTTCAGCCGCAGGTCAAGCTCATGGGAAGGCTCTTTGGATTGGGCAGTGGTTTGGGAAACCCACCCAACAGTTCCAGTCTGTGCTCCGTCCATTTCCAGATTGATTCAAATTAAGTCTTCTGTCTGTACAACCTGCACTTGCAACAAACCCACCAGAAGCTTTTTTGTCAACTCTGCATATGCACCATCTTCCCACACACTCTCTGACACCTGTCAGATAAGTTATTTGACCTATTCATGCTACACTAGCCCGAAAGTGATTACAAATTGCAGAATTACAAGACAGACATTTAAAAAAAAACATTAATGATTGAGCTTTGAGTCACTTGTTCTTGTGGTCAAAGACCTGGGGAATTCACTGCTTGGGGGCAAAGGCCTGTAAACTGTTGCTGTTGTTCCCATTAACAATTAAACACAGTTCAAAGGTGCATAGGGGTAGGACACTACATTAAGCAAGATACTACCTTGTGTTACTGCAAATGGATTTAAGGGAATAAAAGCAAATCTATTAATTATCCAGTGTATTAATTCTAGATATCTGCTGTCCCCAGAGTTGCTGTAAATTCCAGTTGTGCAATAATTGACTATTTGGGCAAATGACTGTTCAGTCTATACAACTTACATCATTTCAACACAAGAGCTGGGCCATGTCCTAAATTAATCATCTATATTATATAGCAAGCTTTGTAGGATAGAAGTATGAACTATGCTGAGAAACATTCTATATAAGGTGGAACAGCACAGAACATAAAAGTGTTAGACCTGCTCCCAGCAAATAGACTGATAAGCCATTTCCCATTCCAATTTTATGCTGTCAGTTTTGACACACAAGCACCAGACAAAACATTTAGACGACATCAATGTTAAAATTATGTAACCCTGTTCGAAGATCTTCAAGAGATCATTAATATCATTAACCCGGCAAGCAAGAAGGCAAAACCAACCTCCAGGCCAACAGACTCTTTACTAAATAAAGTACTGCCGTTCCTGGTTCTAGGAGAGCAGGAGATTGCAGAGTGAGTACATGGTATTGGATATGACAGTACTGTAATTACAGAGTAAATTGCCAGATTTTTGTTTCCATCTACCCCTTTGATTTGGCAATCGTCAGCACAAGAAGTCCTATTTTCACAGCCCCCTCTCCAATCAATCCCTTACACATTCAAGAATTCCTACATAAAATAATCAGTGCCTCGTTACTGTACTGTTGTCACAATTTAACAGCCTCCAAGTCCTTGTGCTTCATAAAGTGCATCACAGTTAACTGCACACATTGGCGTGCCAACTTAAAGACAGGATATCGGAACAGTCCAGTCCTGCTGATCATTTCACTCCATTCTGTGAGTAAATTCTCTTTGTAAAATTAGTATTAAAAATGTATACAAACTTTAAAAGGAGGCTTTCTATTTTGTGGCGCCGAGACACAGTTAGAATATGCAGCTCGCCTACAACCATGAACACACGTGCAAACTGTACTCAACAACATGCAAATAAGACGTATCCTTGGAGCTTGGCGGAGAAAAAAAATCTAATGTGGAACTTTAAGGATCTGCCATTCATCACAACCCACATCATTTAAAAGTGTCCGAGAAAATACGCAAGAGCTGAGCCATTTCATAAATTAAGTCATCAGTGATTCCGTTAAGATCTGTGTGAAGATCAATAGCTTTCCATGTAGTGCTTTGTGTACCACACCCAGTAAGCCTCCAGTTCCTTAACACATCACTCTGCATCTCTGTTTCCCCCCACACCCCCCCCCTCCCCAAACTAAGGTCAGGTCACCCAAGGTATAAAACTCACCGTAACTCTATGAGCTTTATAATTAACATGCTTGTAAAAATGAGGTAAATGATCAAATTCTCCTCTGCCTCCCGTTTACCCCCACCCCACCTCCATGAGATGCACCACTTTAGTCACAATATTCTCCATGATGGGGGAGGGAGGGAGGGAGGGGGGAAGAAAGCAAAGGAAAAATTAAGGGCGAAGCATCTCCTCAGTTTAATCTGTGACCATCTCATTCGTAAGACTGGCATGTAACCCAGCAACAAAGATTCTTGGTCCCATTTCCAGTAGAAGTCATTTAAAATGATCAGGGACACCCAACATAGCTCGAAACCCCCTCCCACCCATAGTGTGAATTTCTTGATCATATCTTGTTCAAAAACACTTAACATAAACAAAACATTTAAATCTGGTATACTGTGCGCACCTTTGTGAAGAGCAATCTGTGCTCAGTGAAACTGTTCCTGTACTCTGACTGTCTACTCAGAGATGCACAGGNAAAAAAAACATACAATCCCATTTTGTTTGGGCCGTTTTCAAACCCAGGTCCCAAAAAAAAGGGTGGTTTCCCCACCCAATTTAATATTTCCTTGGATTGCTTATACTCAAGTTATCCATCAATTCCAGCTCAAAACGCATAAGACCCAGAATACACTCAACGGTATTAAATATCCTCGGTTAGCAGCAGACCTCCAGAACATTGCAGCCTCAATTTATGCAACTATGGGAGCAGCAAACACACACACAGACCAGAACCTTCATTCAGACTGTGTGTTTCAGATCTACACAGATCACAGCAAATTGCATCGCATAATTTCCCCGAAGTTTTTCATGTTCGACGTTTCCCCGGATACAAAATAGACTGATGCCACTGGTCAAATATACTGCCAAATTTCATCCACGAAGGACACACATTTTAGCTTATTCTCCACATCATTACAGACACGCTTAGATGGTAAAAAGCTCGACAAGTGTGCGTGCGGTGGTTTTTTTTAAAAAAAAAACCCAGCCTCAATCAAAGCAGAATCTTGATTTAGTTTACCGAAAAAATTTCCGTATGTTGACCGCCGAAAGAAAAAAAAAATGCATACTGCTCCTTATTGTGGGTATCTAGCACAGAAGATACGAGCTTCGCGGGTTAGTGTTGAATACATTTAGGTAAGAAAATATAAATGAGCTTAAGATACCATGCTACCTCGTCAAAATCCTCAAAATCGTGCAAACGCTGCAGTATTCAGCTTTTGCACTTCTGCTCTGCCAACACAATCTGCAGCTCCCTGAGGTTTTCAGTCAACAGCTCGACTTCATCCATTCGGCCATTCTGCTTCGCATCAAAAATGTACGCTCGGATATTGTTAATCTGCTGCCTAAGTAGCTCTTCCTCAATTTCCTCTTCTGCTTTCAAGTCATCGTCTGTGTCAAACGGATTTGTCGAGTCCGGCTCTTCGAAAGGATTCTGAGGCTCGTCAGGCTTAAGAAAGAGATTCTCATCTTCAAAGGGATTGGAGGGCGCCTCCTTGCCCTCAAATGGATTGGTCGCGTTCATTCCATTAGAAAAACCTTTGTCATTAAATTCTTTAGCAGGAGATGAGCCTCTTGAGCTCTCATCACAAAATGGATTCAAAGCATCTTCATCAACGAAGGGATTACCGGTTTTGTCATCTTCAAATGGATTTAAGGAGCCGACTCTTCTCTGCGGCTCTCTGTTCGCTTCTGGCATCTCTCGGTAGGTCGGTAGAGAGGCTAAATTGGTCGGATTTGTTGGCTGATGAAAAGTTCTCATGGACTGCGTTTTTGATAACAATCGTTGCTTGTTTTGGGCAGTATTCAGGTCCGGTTCTTTCACTCGGTCAAACCTTTGTGTTGTGGTTGTAGTGGAGGTCTGAGGGCTGGCGTGCACCTCTCTGAAGTCTAAAGAACGGGTGCGTAAGTGTTGAGATAATTTCTTCTGCTGCTGCCCCTGGAGGAGGAGGCGATCAATCTGTTCCCTTTGCAGTCCCTCCTCCTCCGCCTGCTTTCTGGAAAGCTCGATGGCTTTCTGAGTTTGCTGATCATCGTACTCAGTCTGCAACTGCCTCAGGTTTTCCTCCAAAGTGCAGATTTCATCGAAGCGGCTGGCTTGTTGAGCTTGCTGAATAAAATGTTTAATGTTTTCAATCTGCTGCAGAAGTGGGTCAGAGTTTTCCATGTCCCAGGTCACGTTGGTCGCTGTTAGCCAGCCGCTAGCTTTACGGATTGTGGGCTTGGGGGAGTGTAGTGCGTTGCCGTTGGCAGTGACTCCTGGCTTATCACCAGCTTCTCTCCATTTCTTTTCCGTCTTTAGCTTCTGAGCTTCCAGTGCGTTCTGAAATAAAAGATGGGTCTGGGTGAAGAAGGCCTTTTGGCCCATCCAACCCCATCCCTCCAGAACACTCACCCAACCGTCCCCCCCCATCACTGCATCAAGCTCCTTTTAAAATGAATCAAGTGTTCTGGCTTCAACTAGCTTCCCGAGCAACTTGTTCCAGTCGTTGATTACGCTCTACATAAAGAAAAACTTCCTGAAATTGCCTTTTATACCTCAAATCCTATGCGCTCTTTTTCTACTGTCATGATACATCCTAACATAATGATCTGGGGTCCAGTTGCATTTATGGAATGAAACTTTCCAGAAGTTTACAAGTGCACTTATTGTCACGTCCAAATCATAGCATTAAACAGCACAGAAGGAGACCATTCGGCTCATCTGTGCCAGTTCTTTGAAAAGAGCTATTCAATCCCACTCCCCCGCTCTCTCCACATAGCCCTGTAAACTTGTCCTCCCCAAATAATTATCTACTTCTCTCTTAAAAGTTAGTTATCAAATCAGCTTCCACCAGCCTTTCAGGCAATGCATTCCAAATTCAAACACAGTCCAATCCAAGTGCCAGAGTCCTTATGTCATCTGGTAATGTTTTGGCCTTTTCAGACATGAATTAACATGTTACGATTAGTATTTTGACGATTTCAACCATGTTGTGATTTAATGGATGTGGACTAATAGTTAGTGGATTACTGGTGTAAGACTAAATAATATCGCACCTGTCTTTCCAGCTGAAGCTTCTTTTCAAGCTCCTGCTTTCTCTGCTTCTTCAGTTCTTCATATTGTTCTTTAGTTGGTAAAAACATCAGCCCCAGAAGCTTTTCCTGCGGGGAGAATGCTTTCTTTAAATTCAAATGCAATTAACTTTCTGAGAAACAATGTAGCAGCTTATGCTTTAATAATAATAATCCTTGTATTTGATATAGACTCTTATCACATCTTCGAGACGTCTCAAAATGATTCAGAATATACTGTAAATTTACTATGTATTTTGCGGGTGAAATGCGGCAGCCAATTGTGCACAGCAGTTACTCTATTCTGCTTATTTTTTCTCTTGCCAAAAGTGGCATACAGTACACAACTGGTGAAAGCAAACAAGATCCTTGTGACACTCAGAAACACGGGCTGCTTACCTGCACAAAGAGAGTGGAGGCATATCTTATCATCCTCTGCAGCTGGACAGTCTTTGGATGTGGCTTTGGGTCATCTTTGAGGCCAAGGGACAGGATCTTTTTACTGCAATTTAAATACTCGTGTTTAGCACTGCTCTTTGAATCCTACTAATGGCTCAAAATTCTCACAGCATTTCATAAGGATGGAGAGGGGCCCTGAGCAGGGAGGGAAATGACCAAAGACACAGTGGTTTGGAATCCAGAGAGGGAAGGTGTAAGGATTTAGGGAGAGCATTTCCAGAGGGCAATGGGCTGAAGGGTTGCCTCATGATGCTGGGATGGAGGATGTGGAACATGCCAGTGTTAGCAGAGCAGAGGGAGTGGGCAGGAAGGAGGACTTCAGGAAATCAAAGGTAGGTAGGCCGAGGCAGAGGGGTACCTGAAAGTAAGAACGAGGATCTTGAAGTTGACGTAGTGGGCATAGGGAAGCAAGAGTCGGTGAAGCTGGGAGAGTCGGTGAGGAGGGATTGGAGACGATCAGATACCAGGAGGGCGAAATAGCTGATGTCAGCTATAGAACTGGCTTCCACATTCTTGAGCTGGAGGGGCAGGGGGAGGGGGGAGGGGGGGGGATTAATACTAAAATAAAACATGCAAGGTTCCCTCGCCTGATCACCAATCACGGCCTCCCCCTCCATCTGAAGGTGAGGGTATCTGTGCGATTTCTACTTACCTGAAAATGTCTATCAACTCATACAACCTCTGTAGCTCCAGTCGGGTGTCAGTGGTGTGCTCAAGATTGTACGTCGTCTCTCCAGCACTGCAAAGGGGTAAAAAAAAAAGCAGCGTCACATAGCGCAGAATAAACAAACACTTGAATGAAAAGGTCCTTTACTGACAGTGCCCAAAAATGGCAGCTCTGTTTGCGGGACACCACTGTGCGCAATTGGCTGCCGCGATTTGCCCACAAAATCTACAGTCTATAAACAACACTTTACAGTCTATCCTGGGAAGCACTTTGAGACGTCTCGAAGACGTGATAAGGCGCCATATCAAATGCAAGGAATGTTATAATTATTATAATATAATGCACATGACGTTATGTGGAAAAGATGACCGGGAACCTTCCCTCTGAGATCTCATTCGATTTGTTTCGGGATCAGGAAGAAAGTTCTCACGAGTCTTTTTTTCTACTCATCAATCTCTGGTTATTCTCATTACGCTCAGGAAACATTCTTGCCGCACAAGTACATCAAAAAAAAAAGAAAAGCCGTTAAATACACTTAAAAGTACTCACTTTAACGATTCTGCCTTCTTGATGTAGTCGGGGGCTTTCTGATCGACCTTCTCCATGCATTGCCTCAGTTTCTGGCAAAGACATAAACAGCAGCGACAGGCGGTGAACCTGACAAAGCTCCGAATCGCTGCGAAGAGTAGCTACGGTATAAAGCTGCTCGTGGCGAGGTTAAGGGAGGGGACGGGAGGTTCCGGGGCACTCACTTCGTACAGCTTGACAATTTCGGGGACGTTCTCCTTCTCGTCGATCTGCTGCTCGCGCCTGAGGAGCGTCACACTGCAGTGTCGGCAGCAGCGGATTCTCTCGTCGACCTTCTCCTCCAGGATGGAGCTGATGCTGCTCACGCTGTTGATGCTGCCCCGCCTCGAGCTGCGACTGCTGCCTGGGGACTGCGACGGGCTGTGGCTCAAGGCTACAGCCTCCCGGCTGGCGCTCGTCAGCTTGTCTGTCAAACAGAACCAGACTGAGTCAAGGGCAGCTTAAACAGAAGCCTCCCTCCTCCTCCTCTACTGAAGGCACAACGCATGCAGAGCTGGTTGAACCTTCAGCCTCTCTCCCGCCCTTTGGAGCTCCATCCTAGTCCCTTCGCCTCGCTCCCTCCCTTGCCTCCTTCAAGGCCCGTCTCAAGACCGTTGTCTTCGACAGCACCTTCGGCCACCCTCCTATCCCCACCCTCCTACCCCTACCCTCCTAACCCCACCCTCCGAGCCAGACATCATCTGAGTTTGGGTGACTCTATTTCATATTAGATAATAGCTTTACTAAGCTAGTCATTAAAAGCTAGGAAGATAATTTCATTTAATTTGAAACAGATGATCAGAAAATATCCAGTCAATTCACTTTACGGTATAGCCTGTGAAGCGCTTTGAGACGTCTCAAAGACGTGATAAGGCGCTGTATCAAATGCGAGGATTATTATTATTATCGTCATCGATCCCTTTCGCTTCTCCCCCACCCAGGACTCTGTATGAACGAACGTTTAAAAAAAACATGGACTTACTGGCCAACGCCAGAGTCAGAAATTGCATGCATTTTTTGCACATGATGGAGCCGCACAGGCGACAGTGATGTCGCCTGTTCCTGATGCTGAACTTGGTGCCGCAGTCTGGACAGAAAGGTACATCCTGATCATTCACCCAAGGAACAACCGACTGCTCAATATCTGCAAGACAAAACGTTTCCTGAAAGTAAACAAGACAACAACAACAAGATTGCATTTATAGAGCGCCTCTCACGTCGGGAGGACGTCCCAAGGCGCTGGACAGTTGGGTCGGGACCCGAGCATTGGGGGGAAATGGTCAGGGTGAGGGGAGGGAAGGGAGGGAGCGAGGAGGGGATAGAGAGTCGAGAGGGGAGCTGAAGGCAAGGGGCAAAATCCTGCACACGCTGCACACACGGCTCACTGTCACACTGTGCCAGTGGCGCGATCAGCTCATCGAGAAGACTTGGCCTATATCTCCACACCGAGCACACCGAGCCAATAATTCCCATTCACTACGTTTCACAAATTTTCTATTTGCAGCAGTAAATCTGCTAAATTCAAATTCGGCGAAAAGGGAGATGATGGATCCGTCCCTTTCTCCCAACCCGGGTAAAATGACTCCACTTACGATCATTTACAGAGTATATATTTACCCAAGCATTACATTTCACTGAAGCAAACAACCTCTTCCCGATCCAGAGGGACACATTCTCAGATTATCCGGTTTCCTATTGCTCAGCATGTTAAATATAACCAACACACTGCTATACGTGACCTCGAGATAGCAATACATTCCAGAACATAAGCACAAGATATTAGTTATTACAGAGTGATTGAAATGATTAATGAGATTCAGCTACACAGAATTGCTACTAGAGGTCGATTTTTTTTATTTCAAGTAAACTCTAACTAATCTAAAATAACAAATTGAACTCATATAAATAAAAATTCAGGGTTGGCCTGTAATTAATTAGTTCATGATTTATAAATAATCTGATTCGAATTTAAATGCTAAAATCTACAAAGCAAGTGCGTCACAGAGCATTGCAGATTTCATATCACTCACCTCGGATTTTGGCTGATTCCATATTTACTCGGTCGAAGGCCGTAAGCTAATAAATACAGAAATGGGAAAGAAAGATTACAATAAAGGCAAAGTGTCTCTACTGTATCTCACACGTTGTCTTTTTAAACTTACAATTACACGAGTTTGACACGTCGACAGAGTGTCTGATAAGCTCACCTTCTCTAACCTGATGATCAGCTTGTTCACTTCAATGACATAGTGGTCAATTCTCGCAGCTCGATGCTTCTTGAAGTAGTCAAGGTGACTCCTTCTGGCACCTATTAAAAAAAAGCGGAAGAAAAATATTTCACTGCTGCAGCAACAACTTGCATTTATATAGCGCCCCTCGCGTAGGGTAGCGCCCCAGAGCGCTTGCAACGGTCGTCACTCTCGAGGGGGGAAAAAAAAAATCAGTGAGAGAGAAAATGAACAGCTACTTACCAAGCTCCTGTGGCTCCCACATCAACGGATCGATGCCTCCGGGGTAAAAAGATTCTGGACGGCCAGAGTCCGAATTGTCCTCCCCATCTCGCTTCAGAAATTTGTCCTTCGCTTTTTTAGCTTTCTGAACCAAATCTGGAGTGGAGGAATATTTCAAGCCATTATCCATAGTGCAACGCAGTTACAGCTCTCCGCTGCACATGCAGTGTACAGACAAAATATACAGTCAGATTCACTGTACAGTATATTCTGTGAAGCACTTTGAGATGCCTCGAAGTCATAATAAGGCGCTGTATCAAATGCAAGGATTATTATTATTATTATTAAGGGTGCACTGTGCTGAACACACAACCTGATTCCTTTTCTTTCACCGAACCAAAATACTGCCATTCTCATTTGAGCCAAAGACGGCAGATTCCTTCCGTAATTCTGCACCGATGGCATCAGATGTTCACTACCTTCATGCCCTCGGCCCTGGCACACCTCATTCTGGATTGCCTGACCTGCTCCTTACTGCCAGCCCGCTCGCCCAGCCGTTGTTCCACCAAAAATAAGTATCTGTTAAAGAACCATCGAGTTCTCAGCAACAGTTAAGTTTTTAGCAGGGTGGCGGTGAGACCATAAGCACGATCGAAGAGGGACATCTTAAGGAGCGACCTGAAGATGGGGGAAGGATGGGGGAAGGCGGAGGGATTGAAGGAGAGAGGTCCTGAGTTTCGGGGCATTGTGACTATTACTGGAAGAATAGCTTTCCTGAGCACATAGCCATCGCCCACTCCACTGAGGGCTTCTGTGTGTCATAATAATAATAATAATATAATAATAATAATCCTTGTATTTGATATAGCGCTTTTCACGTCAGGAGGACGTCCCAAAGCGCTTCACAGAACACACTGTAAAGTGAATTGACTGTATATTTGTGGGCGAACGCGGCAGCCAATTGCGCACAGCAATGTCCCACAAACAGTTGTAGATTGAAAATGACCAATTTAATTATTGTTTTTTTTTTGGAGGATTATTATTAGGCGTAATAATTAGTCATGACATAATTAAGTGACGAGGAGTCAGACATGATCTGGCATTTGCAACGCAGCAGAATAATTTGGTCGCTCAGCCCACGGCTGTTGGTGGGAACCCGCAATTGGCTGCCGCGTCTCGGCCACCGAGTACACACAGCCGATTCGCTTTACAGTAAGTTCTGCGAAGCGCTTGGGAGGCGTCTGGAAAGACGAGATACGGTGCGATATCAAAGGCAAGGATTATTATTAATATTATTATTATTATTATAGTCACAGGAGAGCAGTCAGTCATTGCTGTCAAGTCACTGCCGCCAGCGGCCATGAGCCGGAGAGACCAACTGCCGACCACACAGGGAGAAAGCCGGCAACTCCTTGCCTTTTTTCTGACGAACGTTCATCGACCTCAACCTGAGGCGTTCACAACAACAACAACAACATTACATTTGTAGAGCGCCTTTCACGTCAGGAGGAGGGGCTGGACAGTGCACAGCATTTCAGACCCGAGCTGGAGTGGTTTAGGTGGGGGGGGGAGGGGGCAAAGAGGAGGGTCTTGAGGCGGGACTTGAAGGAGGACAAGGAGGGGGTGAGGCGGAGTGACTGGGGGATGGAGTTCCAGAGGTTGGGGGCAGAGTGGCTGAAGGCTCTCCCGCCAATGGTGGGGCGGGTGGGGCGGGGGACGTGGAGGCGGCTGAGCGGAGGGAGCGGGCGGGTCGGTAGGGGGTCAGGGGGTGGCAGAGGTAGGGTGGGGCGAGGCCGTGGAGGGCTTTGTATGTGAGGACCACTTTCCTCTCTCCATAGATGCTGCCTGACCTGCTGAGTGTTCCCAGCGACTTCTGTGTTCATTCCGAGCTTTTTGGGGGGAGGGAGGGGTTGGGAGCCAGACTGACAAGGCGAGCTCCCTCCCCCCCCCACCCACACACACAAACTCTCTCACCCCAACACACAGACCCCCCCACAAACACACAGACCCACACACAGACCCCCCCCACACAGACCCCCCCACACACAGACCCCCCCCACACAGACCCCCCCCCACACACACACACCCCCCACACACACACCCCCCCCACACAGACCCCCACACACAGACCCCCCACACACAGACCCCCCACACACAGACCCCCCACACACAGACCCCCACACACAGACCCCCCACACACACACACAGACCCCCCCCCACACACACACAGACCCCCCCACACAGACAGACAGCCCCCCGGGGGGAGGTGGTGGTGTGGTGTCGGGGGGGGGGGGTGTACCTCTGAGCGGGGTGCCGGCCCCCCGGCCCTCCCCGCAGTGCCGCTCCTGGTAGTGCTGCTGGAGCTGAGTGAAGGACAGCAGGTCCTGCAGACACAGCGGACACAGGAAGCCCTCGCGCACCTCGTCCAGTGCCGCCGGGGCCCCGCTGGCCATGGCCGGGCCTGTGGGCCTGTGTGGGGGGGGAGGGGGGGGGGGAGCCCGGGCCTCGAGTGGCAGCTCTGCCCCGTCCCGTCCCCTCAGCCGCCGGGAGCCGCCGCTGTTAAGCACCGGGTCCGTGGTGGTGGTCCCCGGGGCTGACACCGCGGGGGGGGGGGGGGGGGGGGCGTCGCGAGGGCTCTGAGGGGGAGGCGGTCGGTCGGTGGTGGCGGTGGGCGGGAGGGGCGCAAGTACGCACGCGCACCGGGCGCGACGATATGCGCCTGCGCGCTGTACGGCGCCCACCACCCCCGGGGGGGAGAGAGTACGCATGCGCGACGTACGCCACCCACGCGCGCACGCGCTCCCCCCCCCGCCCGCGGAGTACGGAACGCGCGCCGCACGGCCGCCGGGACGCGAGGGGTGCGCCTGCGCGCTGTACGGCGCCCTCCGCCGCCGCCACGCGCGACGCGCGCGCGCGCTCTCAAGAGGCGTCGCGGAGGTACTGCGGCTGTTACGTGTGTCCGCTGGAGGCGCCTCTTACTGCTGACAGCACTGCCCAGTCCTGCCCTGCCCTGCACTGCCCAGTCCTGCCCTGCCCTGCACTGCACTGCACTGCCCGGTCCTGCCCTGCACTGCCCTGTACTGCCCTGCACTGCCCTGCCCTGCACTGTCCTGCCCTGCACTGTCCTGCCCTGCACTGCACTGTCCTGCCCTGCACTGTCCTGCCCTGCACTGTCCTGCCCTGCCCTGCACTGCACTGTCCTGCCCTGCACTGTCCTGCCCTGCACTGCCCTGTCCTGTACTGCACTGCACTGTCCTGCCCTGTACTGCCCTGCCCTGCCCTGCACTGTCCAGCACTGCCCTGCACTGCCCAGTCCTGCCCTGCACTGCCCAGTCCTACCCTGTACTGCCCTGCACTGTCCAGCACTGCCCTGTCCTGTACTGCCCTGCACTGCCTTGCCCAGCACTACCCAGCCCAGCTCTGTCCTACACTGTCCTGCCCTGTACTGCCCTGCACTGCCCAGCCCTGTACTGCCCAGCCCAGCACTGTCCTGCCCTGCACAACTCAGCACTGCCCAGCATTGCCCAATCTGGCTCATCAGCTGGACCAGGAAGGGCCGACCAGTCACTGGGAGCCGGGAATCCTCCCATTCAGCTCCTGTTAATAATAATAATAATAAACCTTGAATTTGATACAGCGCCTGATCACATCTCAGTGCTCACAGGAGATACACTGTCAAGTGAATTGATCTGTATATTTTGTGGGCAAAACCCTGCAGCCAAAGCCCTATAATGGGCAGTCGGGCGGTCCTAACTGGACACGCAGCGGATAGGCTTGTCGGACAGCGCTATCGATGGCCAGGGATCTCAGCTCCTTAGGAAGACCTACCCCCATCCTCAGTCCAATATCAATGACCAGCTATGCACTCCCAAGATGCCATCCGGCGTGAAGGGCGCTATATATAGTTGGTGGTGGTGGTAAGACCTCTGGCAGTTGCCCCCAACGCACACTCTGGGCTCCCACCAAGCCTTGGTTCTTGCCAACCTGCGCCTAATACTTTCCCGAATTAGGTAAGCAGGACACGTCCCTCCAGAGAGAGAGAGAGAGAGAGAGAGCGTCTCCCATTCCAACAATCCATCGCTGGGATTTCTATGTGCAGGTGGGATGCCTGGAAACCTCAGCTTGGCCTGGAGACTCTTGAGCACAGTGATGGGTTTTTGTATGTGTCAGACACCCGATTGATCTCTCCCCAAAAAGATAATAATAATAATAATCCTTGCATTTGATATAGCGCTTTTCACGTCGGGAGGACGTTCCAAAGCGCTTCACAGAATATGCTGTAAAGTGAGTTGACTGTATATTTGTGGGCGAACGCGGCAGCCAATTGCGCACAGCAATGTCCCACAAACAGTCGTAGATTGAAAATGACCGATTTATTATTGTTTTGGGTTTTGGAGGATTATTATTAGGCTCTGTGTGGAGTAAGGAAACTTGCCAAAGGTTTCGCCCTCTGCCTGGAATTGAAGTCAGGTCTCTCGCTCGCAAAGCGAGTGCTCTAACCACTGAGCTACAGGACTCCACCTGTAGAAAGGGTAGAAAGATGGCACTTGAGGGGCTGTACAGCTCCTCAGAGGCAGCGGAAGACCGAGTCATGTTTTGCCAGTGAGTGAAGAGGTCAGGGTGCTGCCATTTTGACCAAAGCACCAAATGTGTGGTAAAGGGCGCGTTGCCGTATAGAAATAATTGAGCAACAGTTATCTCAGTTTAGTGTTCGAAACGATAGCCATCTCTATTGCCCGCAAGCATTTTTTTTTTTTTTTAAAAAAGTTATTCGTATTCTGGTTAACTCTGGTTAGTCATTTGAACTAAAATAAGTGCAAGGCTTGGGAACTCCAGGGTGTGAATTGGAGTAACTGCTGGAGTTTAACCAACTAAATCTGCATAGTTTGCCATTGAGAGCACTGCCTGTTGTCCAGCCAGAACCACCCTAGCAGTAAAGGTATTTTATTAACGTGCAGCTGTACAATTAAAACGCGCATTGATTGGTATGTGTAAAATAACTACCGGTTTATTTCGGGTAATACATGAAACACACGGATTTATTTAACACTTCTGTATTCTTTATACAAAATACAATGTTGAGAAATCTGCACATACATCTGCACGCACCGCCTTACGATGAATAAAGAGGAACAACAGATGATACAAGCCTATATCCGAAATGATAACTGAACTGTATACGAGATGCCCCATTTTTCAATTCAGATTTATTAGGGATCCAGACTCTCGGGTCTCACGATTTGGGAGAATAATTTAGCTGCCTCTAAGGGATGGAACATGCTTTTCAGATCATTGCAGTGTTTAGGTAGATTACTCACACTGCTCCTTCCGACAGCTTTAATGATTTGGGTTACTCCTGAAGCACGTTGCTATGTGGTATACGTTGGCTACGTTATAATCTTCACGTCTGCGTGGCGCTCCAAGCTGGGAATGCTTCTTAGAAAGGCTTGTCAAAGTCGTCACCTGAAATGATTTTAATGTATAACATAATGTATTCATCGCGTTTCCCAGAGCAATAATTATTTGGAAGAATTTTCTTGTTGAAACGAGGAGTCCCAATTTCAGCAGTTGGAAGACTTGTCCTTGGATTTGGGTTTGTGGAGCTTATAACTGCTTCAGAAAATTGCCTGGGAACATAAATACATAAACCATGCCAGACTGATTCCCTGCAGCTTATCCAAGATTGAAGCTGCCAGGTTTTCACTGCCTGTATGCCACAGCATTCTCGGATGGACGATATTGGCAGGCAAACTGTTCCACTACAGTACAGATCTCAGGGAAGGGACTACTAAGTCAGTATGTAAATCTGCAGGTGATTTATCTGCTCTCTTTTTTGCCCAAGGACAGCAATTTCTTTTCCTGATTATTTTCCACTGTTATTACTTTGGTAAAGCCCACCGGGAAACATCTCGGCAGCAAACAAGTTATTCCTGATACAGACATGGGGGGAATATGAGGACTCAGCTGCTTTGGAAAGTACTTTTTATATTAACATTATACAGTTGAAGGCAGACATGATTTGTTTACTAAACTCAGTTTAATGAGCAGTCTCATCTTTAGGAGATGGATAAAGGACTTTATCTGCCTTCTGTATAAAACAATGCACAGTGAGATCAACCGCTTGCTAATATTGCTTATTTTGGGGAGGGAGAAGATGATTTTGACTCTTGCTTGTAACTTCTTTCCTTTCTGTTTCTCACCATCTTCATTTTTTATTTCTCTTTCCTGAATGCCCGCCACTCGAGATTTTTGTTCAGGAATCGGCAAGACTGTAGTTCATATCTGTGGTGATTAGGGCTTGCCTTCATTCGGCCTAGTCATCGATTAGAAAATCAGGTGGAAGATAGTAAATTGAGAGATTACATCCCGATATCTATTCCACTCGCACTGGTGGCGAGCGATTCAATCCCTCTAGAGTTTAACGTAAGACAATGTGCCCAGTACCACTAGCTCTCTGCTACACGTCACTGATCCATCGCTGGATTGTTCACAGTGTATTTCATGGCTTTCATCCCTATATGAAGCATAAATAAAGTCACATAGGAATAAAAAGCCATAGAACACAATGGAGACAAATTACCTCACATCGGTCGCAATGCTGGATTTAGCACTTGTGTTTTTGAAGTAAGAAAACATGGGCGAAGGTCCTGCAGGTCATTAGTGCAAGACGACATCTGGGTTGAAGAGTAGGAGACAGAAGAAGATTATCAGGAAGCCATGGTTAGATGACCAGGTAAACGGGTGGCTCTTTCAAAGAACCAGGTCAGACGCAAAAAGCAAACATAAACATCTATGGTTCCATCATGGACACTGACCCCAAATCAGCTATCTCAGTGGAAAACAGGAAATAAACCTGATAACATTCTGGCCAGAAATGGTTCAGCGCTACACCTTAACCCAAGAGACTCTCACCAGAGTCGTAATCGAAAACTTCAACAGATCTGTGACCTTACACAAACTTAGACTTGTAATTCCTGATGTTGTTCAGGTAATGTACTCTTCTCCTGTTTGCGTGTGTGGTGTGTCTTTCCTTTCCTTGGGTTCTCCCAATGAAGCTGCACCTGACAACAGGTACTCGTTTTGCAAAGGATTTCTGCCAGATGCCACCTCTCCACACCTCAGAAGGGCAGAAACAATTGGATCTCGGTGACCCTGGACTAGTGAGGGAGACAACTGACCAGTGGATTCTACTTCTAACTTCTCTCTGCTAGAAAGTGCGTGTGTGTGTGTGTGTTGGATAAGAAAAGGATAGGACTGTGATGCCTCCCAGTGTCAAACGGTTTGTCAATACTCACTAGTCAGCTTCACAGATAGGAATGGTGGCCCTGGTGAGATGATGGAGGGCTCCGGTCCTTATTGAGCTGAACTTGAGTCGTTTAAGGAGAGGAAATTGAGAGAGACAATTTTCTGTGTTTCTGTGGAGTATTTTCAGCAGGGTGCCAGTGAAACTCAG